CAGATATTGTGGTTAATGCAGACATGAATCGTCGTAAAAAGGTTTCTGTTTTGTTGCCAGAAAAAGGGGGAAAAACCCTATTATTAAATGCTGCTGTGTTACCGGATGTGATTGGTAAGAGCACTCCATCTAAACTCTGGGGCACCGTTCAATGCAACACAAACTCATGCCTTGCCGGGGAGAATTGTGGGTAAACCAAAATATGAGCAAAAGTCCACTTTTAAATCATCTCGATTGAAAACTAATTTCTTTTGAACTGCTTTTTGTGTTTAGTTTGTTGTCCTCCTGCACATCTGATCGGCACGGTTTGCTACTTATGGAGCGAAAGAAGAATGATCTCAATTTAAAAAGAGAGATGACCTTGTCATCCTCTCAGCCGACAAGGGCAATGCCACTGTCATCATGGACAAAATAGAATATAACAACAAAATTCAAGAACTACTCAACAATGGCAGCTATACAAACATAAGAAGAGATCCCACCAACAGCCTGGTTATCAAAACGAACAAAATCATCTCTGATTCAACAGCATTAATTGATCAGACCAAACAGTTCTCGTTGAAACCCTCTGCTGCCAGATCACCAAGATTATATGGCCTTCCAAAGATACACAAAGAAGATACACCCCTTCGTCCCATCGTCTCCACTATCAACTCCCCTACCTACAAACTTGTGCGTTTTCTGGCTGATATACTGTGACCTTTCACTGGAAAAACCACCTCTGCGGTACTAAATTCTACTCACCTGGTATCGACAATCAAGGGCATTTCCTGTCCCCCAGATGACCTGCTTTTCAGTTTTGATGTGGTGTCCTTATTCACCAAAGTTCTGATACCTGACACCATCGCAATCATTGAAGACCTGATTCATCAAGGACTACATACGGAGGTATCCCCCCTTGTGAGACATTGCTTAACCAACACATACTTCATCTGGAATGGAACTTTCTACAAACAGACTGATGGCACCCCAGTGGGCTCCCCCCTATCTCCAGTTGTAGCCAACGTGTTCATGGAAAAAAATTAAATTGACGCCATCCAGACTGCCACTCTACGCCCGACCTTATGGACGAGGTACGTAGATGACACCTTTGTTATCTGGCCACATGGCTTACCTGCTCTAGACCAATTCCTCGACCACATCAACTCCATACACCCAGCCATCAGATTTACCATGGAGGTCGAAAAAGAAGGCAAGCTACCCTTTTTGGATGTCTTAATTAAAAGGAGACCTGATGGTTCAATGTGCCACTCGGTCTACAGGAAAGAGACCCATACGGATGCTTACTTAAAACCGGATTCCCACCACCATCCATCCCAGAAGAACTCCCTCATCAAGACTCTATACCATAGAGCCCAATGCATTTCCGACCAGGATCACATTGCCAGTGAACTCAAACACGTGCACCAAGCTCTCAAGGCTAATGGTTACTCCGACTACACAATCCGCAAAGCCATCACTCCAGTCATGAAGAAGGATCCCCTTGAGGAACCATTCAAAACCATCACCTTACCCTACATTGCGGGGGTCACAAAAAAGATCTCCAAAATCCTGAACAAACACAAGATCCAGGTCCGATTCAACACAGTACATAAAATCCGTGATCTGGTTCCATCTGTTAAAGATGCTATTCCAGACATACAGTACCCGGGCGTTTACAAACTAAAGTGCCTCTGTGGTAGCAGCTACATCGTAGAAACCAAACAACATATCTCGGACCGCATCCGCGAAAATAAAGCAGACTTGAAACACGGTAGGACGAACTCCTCTGCCGTGGCAGATCACTGTTATAATTCAGTGGGCTCACATGACATTGACTTCTCCAAGACGGAGGTTCTTTGCAAGTCAACCGGCTACCATGAGAGATTCGTTCATGAGGCCATCCACATATACAAGCATATAGACAATTTCAACCGAGAAGATGGATTCTGGCTTAGTAACCATTGTAAAGATGTTTTAAACCATTTCGGTTCTTAATTAATTGTATTTTACGGTGACCTTCAGACCGCAGCCCTTTCGCTGGCATTGCCTCTTAATACCTCTCACACCACGGTTAATGGTATGGTTTATAACATGGAGTATAATAGCGCATCGTGGCTGTTTCTGCCCCCTCCTCGATTCCGAGCATAGATGGACTCGTCCGTCTGAACAAAGCTCGTCGCTGTCCGTGGTGCTAACTTTGAAAAGAAAAAACCGCCACCCATTTTTTCGCCATATGGCACTGTAATGTATAACGACTTATTGTTAGTAGCTCAGCTGATTGGAGAGTATATAGAGTTTATTGATAACATTGATGTAGTTTATATTTTAGTTTTTTATTAGTTTACTCTATGGCATTCAATATATAGTGTAGTGTATACCCAGTTATTCATAATAAAGGTTTTTTTGGGTTAGATCGCGTTTATTTATAAATGTGTCGTAACCCTCCACCACCCGACACGGCCAATCAGCAAAAAAAGTGTCACGTTGACAAAAGACAAATAATTCACTACTTTAGCTCACCGGTGTGTTGAAGAGTGAATCCACATTTACAGTTTGAGTACGACGTTTCGCTGGTAAATACATCCAGCATCATCGGGCAATTCACCATGATGGTAAAGCCCTCGCTTGCTCCCGGTTTTATATAGAGCAGCAGAAGGGTGACGTCATCACTTAACTCATATCAGGTGCAGTGATTAGAGGCGGGGGGGGGGGGTATTGTAATTATATAATCGATTAGTAATCAGTCATTGGTTATGATTAGTAATGAGTTGTAGATTAGTAATTCTTTAATTACCCGGCCATCCAGTTCACCATGGAAATGGAGGTGAATAACACACTCCCATTCCTAGATATTTTGCTTGGACATGGCCTAAACGGTAAAATAACACACAACGTTTACAGAAAGCAAACGCACACTGAGGCCTATCTGAATGCAGAATCACATCATCATCCAGCTCAGAAATCCTCTCTTATCAAGACGCTCATACATCGGGCTAAAACAGTGCCAGATGGTGAGAGTCTAGTGAGAGAGATTAAACACGTTAAAGACGCACTACGACAGAATGGCTACAATAATGCTCAAATTAACAGAGCACTGAATACCAAATCACGATCGCAAAGCAATACTGCTGAAAGCGACCAGATTGTTAAAACAATAAAAATTCCATATATCTCAGGAGTAACTGACAAATTAGCCCGTGTTTTGCAAAAGCAAAACATTACAGTAAGATTTGGTACAGTACACAAAATTCAAAAACTAGTATCTTGCACTAAAGACGCATTACCTAAATTATCAACAGAAGGTGTATATCGGATTAATTGTTTATGTGGCAGCTGCTACATTGGACAGACGGGACGTAACATCAGCGTAAGACTAAAAGAACATCAGAGAAATATTAAATTATCTCAAACACAACTGTCGGCAATGGCAGAACATGCTTGTCAACAAGGACACTCAATTGATTTTGACAATGTTGCAGTGTTGTGTAAAACTAATTATTACTGGCAAAGACTAATTAGAGAATCCATTGAAATTGAGAGGAACAAGAATAACTTTAATTGCTCTGACAGCTACAGGCTTAGTGCGGCCTGGAAGCGTATTATTAAATAATACACATTACATTTTGATTTAAAGAATTACTAATCTACAATTCATTACTAATCATAACCAATGACTGATTACTAATCGATTATATAATTACAATACCCCCCCCCTCCGCCTCTAATCACTGCACCTGATATGAGTTAAGTGATGACGTCACCCTGCTGCTGCTCTATATAAAACCGGGAGCAAGCGAGGGCTTTATCATTCTGGCGAATTGCCCGATGATGCTGGATGTATTTACAAGCGAAACGTCGTACTCAAACTGTAAATGTGGATTCACTCTTCAACACACCGGTGAGCTAAAGTAGTGAATTATTTGTCTTTTGTCAACGTGACACTTTTTTTGCTGATTGGCCGTGTCGGGTGGTGGAGGGTTACGACAAATGTATAAATAAACGCGATCTAACCCAAAAACCTTTATTATGAATAATATTGGTCGCGAAAGCCTACGTGTTAAACTATACCCAGTTACTTTATGTTAATAGCTCAACTTATTGAAGAATATATTGAGTATTTATTATATTGATGTAGTTTATACTTAGTTTTTTCACATCGGCTTATTGTATGATAGTTGGGTAGTTGCAGTTCTTTAGCGTTCATATACTAAATGCCTCTGTTGATATGTAAACTTTGATTTTAACATAGCTATTCCCGTGACCAGTCACATGCTAATCCCTCACATTAACATCATGCTAATCTCCCAGTTACATGCTAATTTCTGACTTTAACACCCTGCTGATCCAATACTTTAACACAGCTATTTCAATGCTAAATTCTCCTGTTTGATATGTAAACTCCTTTGTCAAGGCGCTTTACTTCTCCCACCTAGCTTAAAAGACGCTGCGAATCTTAGCAGCGTTCATTGAAGCGCTGTCGTCCCGACAGTTCTGTTCCTTCACCTGAAGAAGGCTACTTGTGTTGTGGCCGAAACGTCGTGAGAATTTTATTGTCTTACTTTGTTTTATTGTTTTATTCTCATTCTACGTGACTTTACCGAAAGAACCAAGAAGATGAATCCTTGCAGTCACGAAAGCTTTAAATCGAAAGTTCAACATACATGTGTAGGGAACTAAATAGAGACACGTTAAATATGTAGACATTATTACGGGTTGTAATCATAATTAAGAGCAGGTGGCCGAAGGTGTGACATGCGGAGAGGAGGGCAGCGAGGCCGCCAGGCGAGGCGCTTGCACGGGGCAAAGTCGACAGAGAGGGGAGCGGAGTGGTGAGGCCACGGTACCGCTGGACCCATCGCGGTGCTGTGGACATCTACGCCTATGCAAATAAAGACTTACCTTCATCTTCATGACGTCTCTAAGGAACTTCTTTACACATACATAGAGTACACAATACGTTTTATTTTATAACCATGTCATCAATCCTGCTAACAACAGAATGTGTTATCTGCACACAGGTTGAACTTCTGGACAGATCTGCAAGTGCAATGAAGCTGAAAAGAAACGCAGCGACATTGCTTTTAGGACTGCTGCTGCTGCTGCTGTCCGTCGGGTTCACCGTATACCATGAGGTCCGTGTTTATTCGTGGATTTAACACATATTTGGGGTTTTTAAATATATCAACAAACTGACATAAAATAGATATAGGTTAGATACTATATATGTGCACTATGGCATGCTATTTATTGCTATGTGTGATGTTTTGGGTTGAACGCTGCCGATGAAGCTGCTGTGAATGAGCAGCGAGGAGATGACCATGATAATTCTGATGGCTGCGATTCAGACGGCGGGGTTTGTCATGGAGAATGACGCCCGGCAGTGGGGCTGCTCATGGGTGTAGAGAGGAGGAGGTCGTGAGTCGTGGGGAGTTCCCCCGTGAGCTGTGGTTCGGGGTCAGGGAGGGAGAGGCGCTGATCTCGCCACTCTGGGCCTGTTGGCGATGGGGAAGCCGGTGGAGGAAGTGGAGGGCGACAAGGATGGTTTTAGAATATACTTGTGGACATTTTGGTGAAATGCTTTTATCAGCCTGAATGACTCCAGAATAATAACGATGTTGCATGTGCGTTTACTTACACACAGCAACTTGCACGTATTCCGCGCAGTCGTGGTGGATTTGTGGCCAATGGCATCGTTTAAATTTCATTAAAATAACTTTGTGAGTCCATATTTTGGTTGTTTTGTTCTTATGCACTAAACAGGCCCTACTGTTAATAAAGTATTAAAACTTTCGTGACTGCATAAAATTACTCATTGGTTTTTTCGGTAAAGTCACGTATGTAGAAATACAATAAAATTATATTAAAACAAAAAACAATCACGACGTTTCGATCACAACGCAAGCGATCTTCATCAGGTGTCAAGAACAAATCACGGAGGTAAATACAACAAAAAGATGAGAGACGAGAATTCAACAAACCTGAAAAAACATTATGTGAAGCACATCCAATCAGGCCAACAACACAGTTAGACACTTGCTGGCGGACCACGAATTTCAGAAGTGTTACATTTCGTGTTCAACCTCTGGATTGCACATACCAGCATAGATAGAATGAAAAATATGAGGTACACGGTCAGTAGAAATACATATACAAGTCCACCAAGAGGTAAGGAGGGAGGAAAGACGGACAGGGAGGCAGAGAGAGGGGGGGGGGATGAACAGAAGCTTAAATAGGAAATACGTTGGAGGGGGGGAGGGGCCAGAGCGAGAGCGGCAGCTCAAACACGCACATCTTACACAAACAAAACGGTAGCTCAAAAAAGGACCACCTCTTGTGAATACAAAACGGCAGCTAAAAAAGGGCACATCTTACACATAATTATAACGGTAACTTTCCCGTAGAAGTGTGACAATAAAGTATTAAAGCTTTCGTGACTGCATAAAATTACTCATTGGTTTTTTTCTCCTTACCCCCCCCCTCTCTCTGCCTCCCTGTCCGTCTTTCCTCCCTCCTTACCTCTTGGTGGACTTGTATATGTATTTCTACTGACCGTGTACCTCGTATTTTTCATTCTATCTATGCTGGTATGTGCAATCCAAAGGTTGAACACGAAATTTAACACTCTTCTGAAATTCGTGGTCCACCAGGAAGTGTCTGTGTTGTTGGCCTGATTGGATGTGCTTCACATAATGTTTTTTCAGGTTTATTGAATTCTCGTCTCTCATCTTTTTGTTGTATTTACCTCCGTGATTTGTTCTTGACACCTGATGAAGATCGCTTGCGTTGTGATCGAAACGTCGTGATTGTTTTTTGTTTCAATATAATTTTATTGTATTTCTACATACGTGACTTTACCGAAAAAACCAATGAGTAGGCCCTACTGTTCACTACCGCACTCAAGAGATTGTACCTCGAGTATACTGGCGATGTTTTGGCAGAAACGTTTTTCTTAAAGTGTCTCCATTATCACTTTTCAGGAAGTTATTGAGAGGATAGAGGCCCTCACCATGGTGCAACGGAAACGCGTGTCACTCAATGTCTCCACGACCGAGAGGGCGCCGGTTTCCGCGGAAACAACAGGTGCAGCGACGACGGTGGCAAAAATCACGGATTTCTCCTTCGTGACAGCCGCAAACAACAGCGTTGTCGCCTTTGTAAACCCCCAAGCAATGTACAGCATCGGGAACACGCTGAACGTGGTGGTGCAGATGCACGACGCCGCCAACAGAAGGAAGCACTCCGGAGGCGACTTCATCCTGGCCAGGCTGTACAACGAGCGGCTCCGCGCCGCCTCCGCGGGCGAGGTGACGGACTACGGCGACGGCTCCTACAGCGTGGCCCTGCGCCTGCTGTGGGGCGGAGACAGTCGGCTGAGCCTCACGCTCGTGCACCCCGCCGAGGCGGTCGCGGTGCTGGACAGGGTCAGGGAGACTATCCCCAACAAAATCGTCTTCCTGGGCATGTTTGTCTCCGGCAAAGTGAAGAAAGTCACCAACTGCAACGTCCACCTCAGCACGGACAAGGAGACGTGCGATTTGACTGACCCGCAAATCGGAGAGCCGTGGAGTTGTGAAAAGCCGGCGAATATGTCTTGCTCTGCGCTGCAGAATTTTAGATCTTACAACAGACACAGAACTTACGTCTCGAAGCAAGAAGAGGAACTCTTTGCAAGGTATAACACGAGTGAAAACAACGAGCCACTTTCCAGACGAGAAAGTGTGTGCGGCTGGAAAGCAGTCGGTCATTGTGACCCTGGCTTTGCAATCGTTTTACAGCATTACTCTTCTGACTGACTACTGCTCTAATTAGCAGTATTTATTTAAATTAGGATGAAATGTAAATAAAATAGCTTGTTTTGTGGAAGGGAGGATGTGAGACATTAATGATCTGGCCAATTGTGCTGAAGGTGACGAGTCCTCCGTGAGAGACGGCACTGTTGGCTCCATCGCTTCAATGTTTTATTGAAGTCATGTGCCTGGACCACCGCTTGGGATGGGATGTCTCTGACATGCATGCACGGTCAATATGTTGATTCAGTCGATCACAAATTATTTAAAAAATTCCAGTAAAGTAACCGAAACGTGCAAGAAACTAAACATCAGATAAGTTGTTTGATATAATTATAACAATCGTTTTATGTTTAGCATGGGGTACGGTATCCGTTTTAATTTCACGTAGCTTACCTGGGAGCTGATTTTTCTAAAATATAAAGTGGTTAGGCTTCATCATGTATGGCTGTAGAAAGTAAGGATATGGAGAGAGTAAAATAGTTGGTGTATTTTTACGTAGAATAATGTACACAATGTAATGTATATAAGACACATGACTGAGTAAATATTTGATAGACTCGTGTTAAGAGATGGACGATCGAGAAGGAGCAATGTCTGTTACTTCTGTACAGGTTAGGGCTGGATTTTAACAAAGCAACCTTGAAACTAAGCTTCTGTCGTCTGAATGTAGTTGCACGAGTAGGACAAAAGTACTTTGTCGCAGTTTAGGATAAGCAGTACGTTTAGGATAAGCAGTACGTTTAGGATAAGCAGTACGTTTAGGATAGAATGGAACTGAAAACATTGTGAATTCAATCGGAGAGACGCTTTTGGAAGGTGGAACGCATTGCGCAGGGTGGATGAGTGCAGTCACGTGGGCAATGGGCATTCAAATGTTAGCGACCAAGAGGAAGACCGAGAGCCAGATGATGCTGATGAACTAATCAATTTATTTTATTTGACCAGGTAAAGGCATACTGAGCTACATAGCTCTTTTTCAGAAGCGATCTGGCCACAAATGATAGCTCAACGACGTGACTTTTGTGTCAATTTATAGCAGCCAAAGACTCAACGCATGTTTCAAAATGTGGAGGTAAAAACCGGAGGACCCGGAGAAAAAAAACACACTACCACGGGGAGAACATGCAAACCTCAAATATACAGGTGTCAGGGTCAGGATCGAACCCCACGACCTCCGTGTAAACCGGGCGAGGTAGTTAACAACTCGCCACCGTGGTAAAGCAGATATCGGAGGTTGTGTCGACTGCATTCTGAGTGTACAGATGCGTAATTGCATCAATGTGTGGGCCCATATGCAGGCTTATGTGAGCTGTGTTTCAATAGAATATCCAGGTTTTAACAATGACCACTAGTATTCTCTGGTACCACACAATGCGAAATCGTAATGTGTAGTTTACAAAATTTGAAAGCTATACTTGTAAATAAAAATTCCATTGTGAGCATGTTAAATACTTGAGTAATTATTAACAACCTTTTAATTTTTATTACAGGGGTCGACTATATGTGCCATTAAATGTAAATTACACGGTGACAACTCGCCCGCCGAACAGTGAGTGCTTTCTCAAACCTATTTCCAATGTCGTTTGTGATGCTGCCACCGCGGTGTAGCGGTCAGCGCACTGGACTCGCAATTCAGACGTAGCCGGTTCGACCTCCCGGTGCGGCAGTTAAAACGGTGGCAAGTTTCTTAAATCCCCCGTGCCACTGTCCACCCAGCGGTGTGAATGAGTTCACCACAGTCGGCCTTATCGGCAGGTCACATCTGACAGGGACGAGACATCTTGCAAGCATAGAAGAGGAGGACAAATACGCTCCAGAGGGCCTCTAAGAGCGCTCTCGTGGAGTCCCTTCTGCCAGCGAGCGGTGGCACGCCAGCACCTTCGCACACTTTTTCGTTCGTGTAAAAAGGCAGTGATCACCAACTATAATGGTTGTGTGGAATATATCGACGGTATTGTCTTAATGGGAGAGTAGTTCATCATTGGGCCCACAATTTCCATCGTTTTTCATGTCCAAAATAATTGGCTCGCACAGTATTATGGGTAATATAGTATTGTATATACAATGCAAAAATGGCAGCGATAAGTAACGTACTCTAGTGATAAATCAAATATAACAAGACGGACTTTGTACGTGATTCAGAGTTATAGAAAGTACTACGAGGACTCCTGTGGGTATGCGGCAATGTTCCAGGCGGTACATGACGTGATTTAAGAATGTGTTAAATTGTATCATACATGAGTCATAGGTGAATGATCGTGGTATGAATCTGCCAATATAAAATAACGAGGATAAAATGTAAATCCATACGGAAACCTAGAAATATATATAAACTCATTGATCATAAACAATGAGATTTCCAAGAGTGCAGAACGTCCGTTCATTGTTTTTATTCGCTTGCAGTTACGAGCTAGTTAGGGATACCTCACAAAACGAACAATTGGTTAAAATATTGATGTTCATTATTCTTGCATTTTATTTGGTGGGTCAGGCAAGGGGGTACTCGGTTGAAACAAAATTCAAAAGTGGATACAGTCTTGATTTGAAGCTTTCGTGACTGCAGGAGTCCATACTCTTTGGTTCTTTTGGTAAAGTCACGTAGGTATAAAATAAATCACGACGTTTCGGGCGCAACACAAGCGTCCATCATCAGGTGGGAAAGCATGCTGCTGAGGCAGACTGTTTAAAAAAAAGCGAAAAAAGGTTGAATCACTGCTGTAGATCATTATCACCCATAATCAATCCACTGCTGGATGAAGGCCTCCCCAAATTACTGCCACTTCTCGATTATGCGATGGAACAATTCATCCAGCACCTGCACAATAACCGATGTCGTTGTTCCATTGGTGGCCATGCCCTCGAGAGTTCCATTCCCTGCTGCCACGCCACCATTCTTGCCCATCGTCCATTATCCTTTCTTATTCTCCTCGCCGTGACACGGCCTTACCAAGTACTCTCATTTATGATGTAATTAATCTGCGTGCGTTCTGATTCCTTGTGCTCCTCTTTCTTTCTTTCTCTCTATGTAATTTAAAACGTGCTACTCTCCATGCGTCTTTGTGTTCTTTTCAGTTTATGTTCTGTACGGTAGTACCCAACGACTAAAAACATTCTTTACGCAAGTTACTGTTATTATTCATGATCAAGTGAACATTGCGTGCATATGCAGTATTATATTCACTCGTCTGATTTTCACTATGATTGATATTTGACGTTTTAATTCTGATGAACTCCAGACACGGTGGAACAGAAGTTGCCGCCCTGCACAACGGGACTGGGTAACCCCAGCCCCAGCGGATTCTTCTGGAACGGTGCATGGAACTCGAGCTACTGTGCCATGCGGCGCTTTGACACTCCACAGCTAGTGACCGAGTGCCTGAAGGAGAAGCATATCTACTTCCTCGGCGACTCCACCATCCGCCAGTGGTGGGAATACCTCGTTAGTTTCACCAAAGGTCAGCAGCACGACACGGTTCTTGGGAATATTTTTTTGTTTTTACATTCATAATCTTGGTTATATTTGTAGAGACTTCCATCAAGGCGCTTGACATAGCTGACAAGTCGCTGACAAAAACGATGCACCCACTATCCAATACAACGCTCACATGCATGTGTAGTGATGCACTTCACGGACACTAGAATGGGAGGCACTGTTTATTGAGGCCCTCACAGGCACAGGGAATAAGTACACTTGGTCAGGACAGCAACAGGCTGCCTGACCAACAACGCCGAAGATGACGACCATGACTCGCGTAGCTCCACAGAGTTCCACTCCAACAACAACCCCGAGTTCTCCACGGGGTCCCCCTTTTATCCCCCAGCGCAGCCTCGCTTCCCTCTCGGCCACGCCCCCCTTCCAGAACCTACCAGAAGGTTATCGGGCTCCCTCTCACGTGCCCCCTCTGTCACCTTATCCCCGCATCCTTTTCCTCCCGCTTATTCCCTCCCCTGCTGGCCGACCGGGCTGCTACAGCAGTAGGTCCCCCTTTTTGCCAGAAACCCGCGCTACCCGCCGTAGTGATCCATTCCATGTCACTGCACATGTAACGTCCGATTAAAATCCCACGGAAAGATGTTATCGCAGCGGTGACACTATGGCTCGCGCACTGCGCTTTTAAGGAATCCTGGTCACCTGAGTTAGATTCCCAGCCGCGGTTCACATTTGAGGTGATATCTGACCCAGTCCTGGGTGACCCCTCCACCCACCCTGCCACCTTCATCGTTCTACACTGGCACTGAGGTCAAACAGCCCCGATGACCAATATGGAATGAGGAAGCTTCCATTCCTTTACATATACAGTATCTTGATTTAAAGCTTTCGTGACTGCAGGGATTCATATTTTTGGTTCTTTCGGTAAAGTCACGTAGAAGGGAAACAATAAAATAATAAAAATATAAAGCGTCGTGAGAATTTTATTGCTTTATATTTTTAGTATTTTATTGTTTCCCTTCTACGTGAATTTACCGAAAGAACCAAGAATATATATACAGTATCTGTTAGTGATCTGCAACTAATAATAGTACACATGGCAATTGCACTTGGCATGTGTACTACACGGACCATTTAAAGTAAAGGACTGTAGAATATGCTGTCCCTGACGCAATGAAATACGAGAAGTGCCACCAAAGTGGGCAAATTGCCCCATTGACCCAATACAGTCCTGCATGCATACTGTACCTGTTAGGAGCAATGTACAGTATTTCAGGATGGAATTAATTTCAAGCAACCTTCACGTTGCAGCCATGTTCATTATAATTTACACTTGAATCATGTCATTTCCCATTTATCTTTTGGCTAGAAAACTTACACCTTAAACACATGCGAATAGGCAGATACATGTGCAAAGATGACTGGAAAAAAACTTCTTAAGAAAAAATGGCTTGTTCAGTAAAACATCCTCTAATAATTTCTTGTGAAGCTGTAGATTGGGGCTTATTCTCAGATGTATTTTTCTTCCTACATTATTCTTCCTGCATAAGCCATCATATCGGTTTGTGCAATATTGAATTATTTATAAAAGATTTATTGGGCCGGGTACTTTCTCTCTTCATGCGTTTACATTCTGAAAATACATTTAGCAGTTTTAAAACATGGTATTATATCTTACAAAATCTAACGTTGTGAATGTGTACCATGCTATGTGTAAACAATCTGAGATGCGGTGTGTTGCTTTTCACAACTGGCGCTCCCTCACTTTTTCTGCTTTTCAGGTTTCAAATATTTTGACGTTCACAAACGAGGCAAACAGCAGCCAAAAATAGCTTTTGATGATGAAAATAAAATTATCCTGCAGTGGAACTGTCACGGATACCCATTCATAACACAGTCTTTAACCTTTTCGAGAGACGTGCAATACATCGCGAAGCAGCTGGACGACATAACTGGAGGCAAGAACACCGTGATCGGGCTGTCTCTTGGAGCCCACTTCACAGCTTTCCCTCTGGCGGTGTTCGAGAGAAGGATGAGGAACATCGCAGCCTCGGTGGAGAAGCTGCTGAGCCAGAGTCCAGACACGAAAGTCATCGTGAAGCTGCCCAACACGAGAGATGTCGGCATCGTGCAGTTATTTAATAACTGGAACACGTACAGGCTTGTACGAATTACACTCGATGTGTTCAAACATCTAAATGTGGCATTTGTCGACGCGTGGGAAATGACGGCTGTTGTCAACTCCCTCAGCGTACACCCCACGACAGCCATCGTAAAAGAACAGTTGAATGTGTTCTTATCATTTGTTTGTTAGTTTTAACGTGGCTCGCTTAAGTCATACCACGATTAAACTGAACTATTACACGTTTGAACATCTGCGGGCATTGTACGTTTTTGCTCACTTATGGATTGACGCTCTTCTCCAAACGAGGCAGTGTTCTCATAAGTGTAGCGACATAAATGGTAGTATTCACTGCAGTGTAGCGACAGTACCGAGGGAAGAGGGGTCCCGTACGCAGGGTGCCGTTCTATGGCACCAGTGTGTGTACTGCATTCAGGGGCTCACGAGAGGGCAGGGTCCAGGTATCACGGAAGTCGGGTCAGGGCATGACAGCATGCGTGAACCCGCGAGAGCACGTGGCCGGAGGAGGGGGCACGGGAACCCCCAGAAGGGGCCACGTGGTGTGGACCGAGAGCCTCCACGAAGGATCTAGAAGGGGGCGTGGCCAGGGGCGGAGCGCAGTCGCGCCGCAGCGGTTATAAGTGCAGTCCCCAGAGGGAGCAGGGCTGTTCGACCCAGGAATTAAGCCGCCTGCTTCGATCCTTGCTCTTTGGTCTTCGCACACGAGGGCCAGGCAGCGCGTTAGCTTTCCTGGTCCAACCACATCGTGATCCCGTTCAAGTGGTTAAATAATTAGGAGCGGTGGCCACCACCCTATGTAGTTAACCCATAATGTACAAAGTTAACCCGTGCTGTACATAGTTAACCTCGGAGTATTGCGCCGTTATCAGTTATGTTAGCCGGTTGGAGTTTTGTTCGTAAATAAACGTGTTGCCTCCAATACTTGGTGTGCGCCTATTTAGAACCCACGACATAAGGATTGTATTTTATGGTTGGGTATGGACCCAGTATGTCTGCTGCGTGGATTAAAGTTTGTCTCTCTCAAAGACTTGCACTCACTTCAACAGCCATGCCATGTCGTTAACATGTTGTGTAGCCCTCAAACTCTCTCCCCATTACACCCTTCTGGGAGCATGCGTGCGTGGTGAAGACGTGTTCATGAGTGTGTGGGTGTATGTTGAATGCAGATGTACACATGCAAGCGCACGTGAGAAAATGTCAACACAAATATGTGCGTGTCATTTGCTGTGTGATGTTTCGGGTCTTATATGTAAGAAAACAAGAGCCGGTAAAAAGAGGAAAAACCCGCGTATATACTGCATTCCTTGAACTCCTTTACACTCTCCCCGACCAATCATCTTCCACTGCTGCCACTCCCCCTACTCAGGTGAGACATAGGTGGTCCCATTGACCTCACCCGCATCCCTCATGTCATGCGGGTGGCAATGTAATATCTGAGAGTTGTGCGCACGGCCGGCCTTGTTCTGTATTGGAGACCGCCGGACTGGTGTCCCAGATGATTGTGAAACCAGCAGGCCTGTGTGAAGGAGAGACTGGGGAGTGGGTGAATCGGGCAGTTCACCATCGACTGATGAGCAGGTGAATCCTTACATGTAACAACCCTGCATCATTCTCCGACTGTGCCCGCTCCTTGACCTCGCATTCATGAAATTCACGACTCTACTTCTGGATGGGACAAACTCCCCCCTTGAAGATAAAAACTAATTATGTACCCATGTCACTGACATTCCCTTTCTAAATAAACTGGTTTTATGAAACCATCACGTCAAATGGTGTCTGTATTTTAATACATTCAAAATTCTGCCTGTGTGGTATTGTCACTTATTGTTTAAAAGTGAAGTTATCCAAATATAATTAATATTGTTACACGATTTAAATTCAAATACTGCAACGCAATGAGTAAAAAATGACTAAAACATTTCAACTTTACATGACCCACCAGAGGTACCCTTAAAGGGAATTAAAACGTTTCTGTTTTAGATTACAGTTACATGTGGAGGATGAAGGGAATGTCATTTCAAGATTTGGTAACCAAATTTGCAAGTTGGGAATAAAATGTGGCAAGCATTGTAAATATAGTAGCAATGAGGTTGTGATAGGTACGGCACGTGTGCAGCAACCCAGACATTGGGATACTTGTGAGCTATCCTTGGAGGTCAGGTGTTGACCCGCAACAGCTGAGAGGTGCAGCAGGAGGTCAAGTGCAAAGGCATTGATGTCTGCTTGGCTTTTTCGAAAAGCTTTGTTCCCTATACTTTACGGAAGTTTTGTTTACGCATGAGCACTATCCCACCTCGCCAACAAGATACAAAATGCAGATTTTCAAATCGTTTTTATTTGTGTGTGTGTGGAAAATTCATGACAACATCTGACAAATATTAAAAAGCTAGACAGTAAAACCAATCATTAGTAAAAACTCAATTGCATTGTAAGAATTATAGATTTCCTGTTTGATCACGATTCATTGGACAACCACCCACTAAGTGGTACTCACTTTATTGAGCCAAGAGGTGGGGGATGATGGTCCGAGTCAATCCCCAACTAAGATTTTAACTTGTAATCTTATGAATACAAATTGCGCACTCTACCGCTGAGCCACCTGGCCGAAGAGCTGGTGACGTGATATAGCTGGTTGCTTTATTACGATTAACTGAGTTATCCAAGTTGACCCCTAGTTATCATCAAAAAGCCCCGCCCGTGCTTTTATCTGACTTGGAAATTCACAAATGATTACTATTACACTTTCTTACCCAGGAATGCATCAATTAAGGCTCTTTTTCAGGAAGGTCCTGCCAACTTATTCCAGGAGGAGGCTAACGTCTGTACGGAAGAACAATAATTTGTGCACTGTCAATAATATACGAACGTCTGTCAATTGTAGTTGGATTATTGGTGGATTACGACTCCTCCCATGATCGGCGAGATACGGCACCGGATTGAAAACGCTTTGCCGGTTCACAAACCACGATCCGCTGGGAGGGGCTAATGTGGAGCTGGACAGAGATCGCGCCTGGGAATAATGCAGGGATAAGATTGTGTTTTTGTTCATGTGGCATAGACTAACTCTGCCAACATGATTTGTTTAGTCGGGGCTTTTTTCATTTTTTGTTACTTTATTATCAAGTAAAAAATGCTAAAAATCCTTCAACAGAGACGGACATGGCATAATTGCGCCATATTCCGTGGCACTCTGGGTCAAATATTTTTTGTGAGGATTATAAGTCTGACCACGGCGCTGCAGCACGGATTAGCGAGTCTGCAATATAGCCTTCCTCCCCATTTCAACGCGGATTATTGCAGTTATAATCTCATGGGTCGTCTCGTGCACCCCAGACCTGTCCAGTCATCTCCATGCACCAATAACCAATGAGGGGTTGCTCATGTCCACTGGTGGCCCCAGAGGATGGGATGAGTTAACCTCCACCCTAGATTTGAATTTACAAACCCTTTCAGCTGCACACTCTAATCACAGCACCACATTTCTGGATATCCATACACCCAGACGATATATAGATCGGCAATGCGTTAAGGTGCACATTTAAACACATTCGTAAACCAGATCCTGCATTGACAATTAATGTAGAAACATCTGAGCATTTTCCTAACTGGCTGCTGCTTAGGAAGGCCAATTTATCCTCACAATGGGAAGAGGCATGCGTCATTCATTTCCAAGTCGTGTTGGTGATCACTGTGACCTCGTATGAGGAAGAGAATCTCACTTCTCTTGTCCTTCCCCCGCACCTCCGATTAGCACGGTTGGCTACGAATTGTGCGAAATGCGTTCAGCATACATACGTATGTGCACCAGAGAGGCAGAGAGCAGGGCCATTTGTAAAAGGCATTTCCCTCAATAGCAGTGCACAAGCGAGGCATGGAGCACTACCCCTGCTTGCTGTGCTTCCTGGGCGAGATCTTGTTGCGCAGAGACAGGAGGTCCCAGTAGATGTTGCGGTTGAGCACACGCCATGCGCACAGCAGCCCTCCGAACATTGCTCCCGTAAATCCTGCGGTCAACACATCCTGGCCTGGGGTGGGGCAGCATGGAGAGCAGAGAACACAGGAGGATGTCACGGAAGCATACGACTGGCAGGATAAGAGATAGGTGTGGGTGTGCTTCGAGGGAGCCGTTTCAATTGGCAAGAAGAACCTAGGCTGGGATACTACGGCAATGGTTTAGTAGGGAGACATTAATCTGCACCAAATTTCTATGCTTTGTCGATGCCTGAAATAAGTAATGTTCCTTGAATATCCTTTTACACTATTGATTGATAAACAATGGATAGTATTTGTTGTCCAGCCAAACCGCATGCAATAGCGGTGCAATATAACTGGGGCTCAACTCACCATTTGTATGCCTAACGCTGGATGGCGAATGACCAAATCACCTGGAATGCACCCGATTTTGTCAGATCTCAGAAACTAAAGAGAGTGAAGCCTGGCTAGTGCTTGGATGAGCGACCGCCATGATTAAATCATATCATGGGCTGCTGGACAGCAGAGGGGAAAGCAACACATTGCATGACTGTACCGTACATCAATGCTCCCACATCTATACTCTCTCCCTTCACCAACCCACATTGACCAGTGTGATGAAGTATGGTTAACTAGTCCCCCGTGACCCACATGGTGTGGAGGAGGCCCTAATCTAACGGTGTATTCACAAGAGGGCTGTCAATGACCAGCGGCTGGTTAGTGATGAATGCGGTGTTTCCTGCTGTGTGTTTGTGCTTCCACCTGTGAGATACAGGTTGGGGATAGAGGTCTCCGGACGCAGAACTGCTGTGGTTTCAGCACTGAAGCGCGGCAGGTTGTGGTGGATGCCGTAAATCTCTCCGCGTGGGGATGCGATGTAGTGCTGATGGGAGAGTGGACTCCCTGCCTCGATGTACTCAATCTGCACAGAGCGCAATACGAGAACAGCGTCATATACATTGCCAACACTGGCGTGTGGATGTGTCCAAAGTTTCCAGTTCAGTGAGGTTTATTTGCCAAATAAAGTTTGCTGGCTGGCGATTCACTCAACTGTGGACTTAAATTCTCCATTATCCCATTTTAAGCGTAGGCTGTGGCCGTGAGCAATACATTTTGGAGAGCATCCGTCGGGACTCACAAGCCCTGCTACGTCTGTATGAGACTATGCAACGGAGGCACTTGTGTATTGTCTCAGCCATTAAGTTACAAGAAACTGGCATGCAAAGCGAGAGAGCATTTCGTGTCCCGGTGTAGAGTTCGGCAGTGCCCGATGGTGGAGCTCACGTTGTCTCGGATCTGAGGGAACAAGTCGGTGGCACTGTCCAACAAGCGCCGTGCCATGGCCATCTTGAACGTCATGTACTCCTCCCCTCTCTTCTTCACGTGCTCATCCTTCCACTCCTCAAACCACTCGTAGGGAGCAAACGTCACTATGGCCAGCGTGGACTTTCCTGAAATAAGCACAGAGGTTTCCACATTTCAAGCATGTTATAAATGACTCAACGGAGATTACACACAGCAACTAACGCCTCCTACTGGCAGGCTAATGCTCGTTTGCAGGGCCAGGTGCTGAGTCACAGAGGGACAGCTACTACTGGGGGTGCACTTTTAAATGTTTAAGATGAGATGTACAGCGCTTATCGCAACAAAAGCGCTCCGAGATGCCCCGGTGTAATGGGCCCTAAAACAAAAACAAAATAATTATAAGCACATAAAATGGTAAAAAGTGACAAAAACTAGGTGTAATTCCAAACATAATACTTAAGTCACCAATTACATCTCTTAAACAGACACAATTAGTGGGTGTAGTGCTGTTATCTCTGCACTGCAAGGCTTTACTCTGAAGTTGAAGATGATTGAAAGTGATTAAATAATCTAAAGTATGAAATAATTGAATACCAATGTGCTTGGGAAAAAAGTGTTCCATCAGTGTATATTCCCTAGTATGGCATAGATCAGAAAAACGAAAACTGGCAAATAAAATATTTCAAAGCATGGAGGGACGTAAAAAAAAAGACATTTCTTCTAAAATAACCACCAAACCTGCCTACAATTCAGAATTTACAGGTTAACACCACCACTCCCACCAGACATATCTCCCATATAGCCTTTAGCAGACTGTTGGGGCAAGTGCTGTTTACGAGTACTTATGAAGAACGTAATTGTACACGAGGGGGTGGGTGGGCCAGCACCACGCCCAACCGCATTTGTCTACCCAGTGACGATTTTTACACACTGCACCAGGTACTCATTTGATGCTGAGTCGACCTAGGGGAGGCCCAGGACCGGTTCAGATAATCATCACTGGTGTTGGCCGTGAGTGGGAATTGAACCTAGGTCGCTTGGTTTGTAGTGCAGCGCGCTAGCCGCGACACTACCGCTCCCACCACCAATACCAATACATACATCTCTGCAAGGTTCCTTTTAAATGCAAAGAAGCATGGAAAGATGAGTGTATGGACTTTTACTGTGAAACAACTAATGGCAATGACATGGGGAGGTCTTAATCAAGCAGTGCATAGATCGTGGCTTGAGGATTATGAATCCGAATTCAGTGAAAATCCAAATACTTTTTTTCAATTGGATCATTTGGTGACCAAGTTCCAACCATCAACTAGCGACTTTGAACAAAAACATATCGCCTCATTGAAGCATGACACCCATCTCTGCCGATTCAGTATTGACTCATTTCTCGCGAAGAAGCGGCCTCTCCCGCTCCTACACACGTACCCAACGTGTGGCGAGAAGTCTGCTCTGTTTGTGTTGCCGGCAGTGACGCGGGGCTGAGTGCTTACCAGGATAGCGCTGCTCCCAGCAGGGGTCCTTGGCAGAGGGGAAGGAAATGAATAGCATGGGGACATCCGCCTCAGCTGCCTCTTCTTTGGAGAGCGCCATGAACCTGCTGAAGCTGCGCGAGTTGGAGCAGAGGCGACATCACTCAGGGACACTCAAGTCCCACTCACAATGCCTTAATGTGAGCAAACTCCTTAACAGTTGAAGCGTTAACCCAGCAAAGCACCACTGATCCTCCTAAAGTGGTTTTGAAGAAGAAATGTGCTTGAGATGTTTGGTCAATTCTTTAATGACGTTTTTCTTTTCTGTGCCAAAGACAAATGAAGTTGCCAGATACGGGAGAGCTCTCAAACACCACGCAGATGTGCAAATCATGTGCTGCACTGCCCCCCACTGGCATCTCGTACCAAAGCGGGAGGGACGTAAAAAAAACATGACATCTCTTCTAAATTAGCCACCATCACTGCCTACAAGTCAGGATTTACAGGATCGCACTACCACTCCCACCATCATTACCAATACGTACATCTCTGCAAGGCTCGTTTTAAATGATACGTCTCACCGTTGATAAAGGTTGTTAATATTTGAACCACAAAAACACATTGTTGAAATGCAAGCGAGAAGCCAGAGCCGTGGTCTGCTTTGAACCGCATCCGAATATCGCACGGCCGGTGCGACCACCTCTTACACCGGTGGTAGGCGAGACGCTGCCTGTGTTGCGAACATGGCTGTCAAGGCCTAATTGTGGGACACGTCGCCCAGCAATGCCTGATGCTTCGTTAATTCAATGGCAGCATCTCAGACATTCGCTAAATCGCTCCCATGGCCATTAACTAACCTCGACATCAACAAAGATTGGCACTAATTGCCCTGCCGTACAAAAGAAAAATAAACTACCCACATGTCCCCAATGCACACCTGGCATCGAGGTCATTCTCCTTGAACAGCCACACGTTAGCGGCTTTCAGTTTGAGCTGTTCCTTGGTTCCGTCGAGTCCTACAAAGACGGTGAAGGCTCCTAGGCCGTGCTGCAGTCGACTCAGCTGCTCACGAGCTCCTGCGTGGAGAGGGCACACACACATCACGCGGCCACTCCTGTGGAAATGCAAAGCAGCTTACGCGATTAAATCACTAAATACAAGGGTTTAATTGACCTTTATGATCATTGTCTCCTCGTATCACGTGTTTTAACAAATCTTGACTGATTTTGACTTCGCAAAGTCTCTTCGCAAAGTGTGGTTTTGTAAAGTGATGCTACTTGGTATTTAGAGGTTATGTACAGGACTATTCATGAAACATGTGGAGCTCAATAATGTTGAACAAATCCCACCGGGAAACATTAATCTCTAAGGCCCCTCAGCTGACAAGACAAATTGTCATTCCTTTGGGTGATTTACCAATTCTCATCAACATATTTCCAATTACAATTCAAGAAAACCGCAAACAACACTTTTTTCAGTGATCACATAAAACCCAAACGCGTGACCTTGTCATGTAAGCACACATGAAGGGAACATGTGAAAGTGTTGGCTCAAGGAGTTTTTCACTCAAGAGCTCCCCCTGTTATGCATCCGTTTCTTCCGGGTTCTCCACTTTATTCCCACAAGATAAAAAAAAAACATACAATGGAACTGGTTTTGACCCAAACCAACAATGACTTGAAAATAAAAACAAAATGTGGATTACCCATAGCAACAGTTCCGCTTAATACAAACATATGGCAAGACCCTTCTGAGACTCAGTGAGCTAATCCTGGGCACACAAGCAGCGCAATAACAATAACACCTTTCCCCGTGTGTCGCCATCTCACCCGCAGTCGCCAGCTTCTCCTCCGAAAGCAGAACCTCGTAGGTGTTAAACATGCCAGCGTCCGAAATGACCATGGGGGCATTAACCTGCACCTCTTCGCCTCCTTTGTTCACCATCACTCCTGCCAGCACACAGGGGGGTGACAAAACATTTACAAGGGCACCAGTAACGCAGCACTGTGCAGCAGTGGTACTTTGTCGTGTATCAGTCGGTCATGCCAGTAGATTGTTCCCGAACTTAAACAAGACAAGCCAAGCACAATGGCTCAAATTTAAAAATCTGTCCATCACAAGCCACATGTTTATGCATGATTAAACAGTTTAGAGCAGGTATGTAAATAAGATAAACTGTGTTAGATACAGCCGCGATAAATCTCCAGAGTATTTGCGCGAGGCGAGGGTAGATATTGTGTTGCAACATTTTACAATAATTAAAGTCACATGGCTTTAGAACCTCCGGAGGAATGTGGTTAATTATTTGAGTTCCTATTTTGCTTGTAGATTAATGGAATTTTTTGTCACTCCACTTCTGAATTAGAGCCTCCCACACCGTGCGGGTTATGGGGAGTATTTGGCTATACAGCTATGCTTCCAATTATAAAATAAATGTGTTCTTCAAAAAACATACGTACAACAAAATTTCCTAAATCGGAACGGCTTTTCCCCTCAATTCAAGACTAACAATTAGGGATGTATTTTAGACAGTCATTCTAACTCTGCTCCTAACCTAATAATATACACCTACATCACTGTTTATAATACAAAAATAATAAAGAACATACATATACAAATGATTGAATAATAATGAATTAAAAACGAAAATTGTTAACCTTTTCAGCAAACTCAGCAAAAGAGCTGCATCTTGTAATGACTAGAAAGGCGATGTGGAGGCGTCACTGTGGCACTGCAGGGACACCGTGACGCTGATAGATAACGACGTAGCCTCTCGGGTGCTTCGTGTTTGAGCTCATGGTACATGCCGTGTTCATTTTCGTTCACGTGGAAATTACATTTCGTTAATCGAAAAGTGTCCATAATGTCAATTGCGTGAATGCGAAATTTTGTAAATCAAACATTCGTAAATTTAAGGATAGCTGTATTTCACTGTAATGGTGTGCGTTGATGAAGATAGGGATTACAAACGCTTGAGCATTGTAGAGCACATTGGATTGTTCTGCACTGCCAATCCTCGCATCGTAGCACTGCAGAAACCTACGACACCTGTTTTATGCATGGTGGTCACCCATACAAGCACTACCCAGGCTTAATGCAGGTTAGCTTCCGATGTCTGATGATATTGGGCGGATTCCAGGTGATTTTGTCATCGGCATATTTTTTACTGTAAACTTAGTCACGGCTCAGTTCCACCTAGGCCCCTAACATAGTTCAGTCCATGCTTGAGCCCAGAATTGAGTGCAAGCGTGAGCCGCTCCGTTGGTTTCAACCATGGCTTGGCTGAGAGCTCATGCAAATCCCAAGCGTGGCAGGAACTGTGCTCAGAGCAGACTGAAGTGAAGCACGGCTTTGAACCGACTCACTTGAGCCAGAGCCGAGCCGTGACAAAGCTCAGTGGGCTTTCCCTTATAAGATAAAACATTGTTTAGTTTTTTTGCAAGTGATGTGTTGACATTTCCTCTACCTTGCACTCCTATCGTGTTTTTGTATGGTTTGTTGTAACATTCTGACCTGCCCCTACTGGACATCTGTGAAAAAGAGCTTTACAGCTCATCGGATTCCTCCAGTATAAATAAATATTCTGATTCTGAAGAATAGGAGGCCTTAAATGTCTCGGGGGCACGTTCTCAGAAAACCGAGCCACGAAGCTTCCCATCGTCACGGTGCGCAGACGCACCACAGGCACGGCCGTCCGAGTCGAGCAGGATGCGCGAGACGGGGGCACGCACCAGCACGGCGCCGCCCGCGCGCTGGATCACGGGGATGATGTGCATGGCGATTTCGCTGGCGCCCCCCACCGGGTACCAGCTGCCCTGCACAAAGTGGTTGATGAGGACCGCCTGCATCACGAAGCTTGTGTCCTTGGGAGGGCAACCTAGAGGGCAGACGATGAGAATCATCTTAACAGCATTTACGAACATTTTGTATGTTGAACTTCTTTTCTACCGGATGTAGCCAACCGTGCTATCATCTGTTAAAACTGAATTGAACATTCAAGCTACATGTATTGAGTAGTGTGCATATGATTCGATAATATAACAGTAATTTAAATTAAACTAGCATTGTAAACAAGAGTAACTTTAACTTCAAATAAAATATCAGAAACTGCTATTCTACTTCAATTGCTATTAACATTGACTTACAAAATAACAAAATATAATAACTTGAATCATGTAATGTTTCTGGAAATGCTCCTTAAGTATACATTTTTTGCTCATTAGTTTTCATACAATACTATCAGTATGCTCTGTTTGCCCTGAAATTCTATTGCTTAAAGTCTGAAATTATACGTCAATAAATCTTGACTTAGAGCTTTCGTGACTGCAGGAATTATTTGTGTCTTTCGGTAAAGTCACAAAAGACCAAAAGAGTATACATCTATACACAATTTTACTTGAATAGTTCAAAAGGGTAATCTAATTATGTTAATGCTGTACAAACATGGGTGGTGAATATTCTATGTATTGTATGGGTCTTTAAATTAAATCGATGGTAATATAAATTTTCCATTAGAGTAAAACATGTGGAGCTTATTCATATGTAGAAAAAATAGTAAGTACATTTCCTTTCAAAATAAGGTTACAAATATTCATATTCTTTGGTTCTTTCAGTAAAGTCACGTAGATAGAAAATAATAATAAATACTAAATAATTAAAAAAACTCACGACGTTTCGATCGCAACACAAGCGGTCATCATCAGGCTGAGGGAATCGGGGGGCAAGCCTCCAACTGCAACTGTTTATAAGGCTTGAAATGGGCGCAGTCCAAGTGTCAGAAGGAGTGGGGACAAGTGCTGCGGGTCAGCATGAATGGACGAGCCAAAGCTGTGAGTGGGCGGGGCACAAAAGCCGTGGAGCCAGCCCTGAGCGGCGCAGTCCAAGTGTGTCAGCAGCATGGGTGGGGCAGCCAATGCTAATGCAGGGGAAGGAAAAGGGGGAGAGAGAGGGGGCAGAGCTTGAGGGATAGAGAAGGGGCACAGATAGGGGAAGAGATAGGGAGAGAGAAGAGGCAGAGATAGGTGGAGAGAGAGGGGGCTAGACGGGGGGGGGGGGGGGGGGGGGGAGTGACAGGGGGCAGAGATAGGGGAGAGAGGGAGGGAGAGATTAGGGGGAGAAAAGGGGTAGTGATAGGGAGAGAGAGAGGAGGTAGAGATATGGGGGGGAAGAGAGGGGGTAGGGATAGGGGGAGAGAGAACGGGGGAGAGAGATGGGGGGGGAGAGAGATGGGGGGGAGAGAGAAAGGGGTAGAGAGAAGGGGGGAGATGGGGGGGGGGAGAGAAGGGGTAGATATAGGGAAAGATGGGGGAAGAAATAGGGGACGAGAGGGGGTAGAGATAGGGGGAGAGAGGGGGTAGAGATGGGGGGCATTGCACCTCACTCTACACATCCACACTGTTGACGGTGGAGGTTGACAAGAAATTACAAATCAAGTCATGACCCAAAGTGGTTGATGACATCTTTCCAATGATTGCTGAGTTTATAACCGTCTTCTTGGTTGAAATTATGTCTGTGTCTATATATGTGGATGGCTTCATGAACGAAGCCAGTAGGCTTGCAAAGTACCATCGTTTTAGAGAAATCAATATCGTTTAAGCCAGCCACATTTAAATAATGATCAGCTACGGCAGGAGTATTTGTCCTACCGTGTTTCAAATCTGCCTTATGTTCACGAACATGGTCCGAGGCATGTCGCTTAGTTTCCCCAATGTAACTGCTGCCGCAGATATTACATGTCAGGAATCTTGTCCTTCACAGATGGGATCAGATCACGAATTTTATGTACTGTGTTAAATCGGAGCTGGATCTTGTGTTTGTTCATGATTTTGGAAAGATTTTTGGTTACCCCTGCTATGTATGGCAAGGTGATGGTCTTGATTGGATCTTCAGATGGCTCCTTCCTCACGGTTGGGGTGATGGCTTTGCGGATTGTGTAGTCAGAATATCCATTCGCCTTGAGAGCTTGGTGTACGTGTTTCAGCTCACTGGTTAGGTGTTCATTGTCGGAGATACATTGAGCTCTATGGTGTAGCATTTTGATGAGGGAATTCTTCTGGGATGGATGGTGGTAGGAGTCAGGTTTTAGGTAGGCGTCAGTATGGGTTACTTTCCTGTAGACAGATTGGCTCATTGAACCATCTGGTCTCTTTTTGATTAAGACATCCAAGAAAGGTAGCATGCCATTCTTTTCTACCTCCATGGTAAATTTTATGGCTGGGTGAATGGAATTGATGTGGTTGAGGAATTGTTTCAGAGCCGGTTGACCATGTGGCCAGATGACAAACGTGTCATCCACGTACCTCTTCCACAAGGACGGGCGTAGAGTGGATGCCTGGATGGCGTCCGTCTCAAATTTTTCCATGAACATGTTGGCTACAACCAGCGATAAGGGAGAACCCATTGGGGTGTTGCGATCGAAACGTCGTGAGTTTTTGGTTTCTATTAATTGTTATTTTTATTATTTTCTATCTACGTGACTTTACCGAAAGAACCAAAGAATATGAATTCCTGCAGTCACGAAAGTTTTAAATAAAAATTTAAGGTTACAAATAGTATCACAGTATTTATGACCCACTGTATATTTTGTTCCACATTATATCAAGCATAACAAATGTGATTTCCATTACATGTTGCATTTTTACAATGCATTAAAAAAACATTCATAAGCTGGGCTAGGAGGTGTGATGGTCGAGGCAGAAATGGGTGAGATGTCAGCTAGAAATGTGAAGTGACAGGGCCAAGGAAAAAGAGAGGGGAAATAAAGGGCTGGGTAGAGATCCACATGCAGGACGCATAAACACAGGGACACCAGGAAAGTCATAAATCAGACAGACAGGTACTGACAAAGAAAGTATTGAGACAGCGGAACAAACAGATAGACAAAGCCATAGAGAGACACATCGACAAGATCGACAGGAAGCATATACCAACACCCAGAAAAAGCATAAATCCACACATGGTAACAAATACATTGTCGCTAATGATCTCATTTTTCCAGAAGGCTCAACTTAATGTTATTATCTGCTGTTTGGTGCCAAATAGCACTCAATACTCTAGTTATGGAGTACATTAAGATACAGATAAACAAAATTTCTTAAATTACTCAAAAATGAAAGCCACGGCCGACGTTTATTCGTATTCAAGACAGGATCCAAAGTAAAAAACGCAGGGCTGTGGACTCGATTGAAATAAGAAATAAGTAATATTAAAAAAAAAACTTTTTTAAAAACACGCTTTTAAGAAATGTACTAGTAATGGCAGAACTCCACGACTCCAGGAAGTGGCCCCGAAGCTTGCCATAACGTAAGGGACCGTGGTCAATTACAGCCAACGTCAGTTGACCGTGGACAATTAGACCCAAGTCGAAACATAACATATAAAAAAGAATGTTTAAAAATATTTATTTTTTATGATAGAATATAGTATTGTCATCAGTATGACATAAGTATACCAAGTTTGCAGTCGATACCACATTGGGAAGTGGGTTAAAATTGAGTTACAATATTTGATGATACAACAACAACAGATAGAGTGAGTTAATAAAAAGCGTGTAAAAAAAAGCGCAATCTGTGCGCTCTACCCGTACGCCGAACAGTGAGTTGTAAATAATCCACGACACATAGGACGTGAAAAATCTACGATGCAGGGTCAATGAAAAATCCACACCACATACTGTGTGAAGAATCGGCGAATCACGCGACGTGCTGCACAAAGACTGCACAACGCATGCTACGTACCATAGTCCCCAAAGTTGTAGGCCATGACGGCGCGAAGGTCTGCGTTGTCGGTAATCTCGGCGAGCACACAGGAGAGGCTACGCGAAGCCAGACGGAAGTAGGAGGTCAACCGGTCGATGATGCCACTGCGAATGAGCAGCTTGGACAGCCACAGAGGCAGCAACTTCAGCAGCGGCGAATAGAGCAACCCCTTGCGCACCTCCTGCACAAGCAGAGCAGTCCAACCAGTCCAACGCATGCATGTGCAACGTGGCCCATAACACAGGCGCTATGACATTATACAACAGAATGCTGGTTAAGAGGATATGTTACTACTATATTTCTTCCTGCCTCAGAAGTCTGCCTGCTGTATTTTTTCACATGAAGACGATTGCTTGTGTTGCGATCGAAACGTTGTGATTTTTCTTATAATTTTTCTATCTACGTGACTTTACCGAAAGACCCAAAGAGTATTCCTCTTTGTAGTCAATATAAAAAATAAATATATATAAACACCCAGGTCTGTCATTCTGTCACTCTGTAATTCTGACTCTGTCATTGTGTGATTAACGCGGCATGGATTGGCTGAAGTGCGTCACGTGACCGTGAGCAAGCAGCCAACCAGAGGTGCACCCCTCACAAACATGTACGCCCCCCATGTGATGTTGCACTGTAATAAGGCGCTGTGGGCAGCTGATCTGCCACCATGCTCACGGGCCTTCAGGGGTGGGGGCTGAGGGAGACCCCCCCCCTCCGTAAGACCCCTTAAGATAAGAGCCTCCCCCACCCTGACCGGAGGTTGACACCCCAGAGCCCCCAGGGGTGGGGGCTGAGGGGGACCCCCCCCAACACTTCCTAAAACCCCTTAAGATAACACCTTGCAAATAATCCTAACAGTTCTTTCAGTGATTAATTAGTCATAGCTCTTAGAAGTGAATGTAAATATCACAACTAAAGTTTAAATACATTTTCATTCATTCACATTAAAGTTACATCGCGGGATCATCAAAAAACGTATGTAGAGTGAAAGTCTTAAGTGAAAGCCGCGTTAAGCCGCTCTTATTCGACTTATTGAAAGTCCTCAAGTACAGCAAAGCTGTTCGCTTTCTTTTTATAGTACTCTACAATAATACTTTTCAATAATACTTTTGACGGTAAAACACACGTGCACTACACACACATCTATTACGTACGGACATATACACACGGTTCTCATTACATTAGTATTGTAGTTTTTTTGGTGCTTAAATCCACTGCTGGATGAAGGCCCACCGCATGCTGTGTGAGTGGATCGTAAGGATTTACTTGACCACAACCTAGTTTTTAAATAATACACATTTCTAAATCTTGACTTAAAGCTTTCGTGACTGCAGGAATTCATATTCTTTGGGTCTTTCAGTAAAGCCACGTAGATAAAAAAACTAAAAATATCACTACCGTATATTTTTATTATTTTTTCTATCTACGTGGCTTTACCGAAAGACCCCAACAATACACATTTCTAATTTTTACTTAAACTTTTTTTTTCTCAGAATAATATAGCTCACTTTAATATTCAAAATGGCACACTTTTTTATAGTGGTATTATCAAGATCAAAAGGTAATCCGTTTAACACGTAGGCTTTCGTGACAATGATAATTAATAACGAAGGTTGTTGGGTTAGATCCAAAAACCTTTATTATGAATCAAAAGGTAACGTTGAAAAATGTTACAGTGCCTTTTTTGTTATCAATCTTTGCTTTTCCACATCATCAAAACCCCATTATCACAACCATATCTTTACTAATATCTCTATCTTCACCATAATTATTACTCTCACTACCATCACATTATTATATCTATCACTATCAACCTCATCACCATCATAATTACCCCACACATCTACAGCCAATGGGGTTACAGGACTGAGTTGGAATACCACATGGAGATGACAATTTTACATCAGACAACAGGTTACTGCCATGGAAAATATTTAATATCTTTTCCGAGTGTCATCCAAGTGTCACCATACACTAGGAATTTGTGAATTCAGAAATTAAAATAAAATATTATACACAATGCAAGGATGAAGTCACGTGTGTAAGAATTGTTTACAGTCTATGAAAATTGTATAAAATGTATATCTTAATGCACATTTAAAAGAAAAAAAGACAGAACAGACAAGACAATGAAAGTGAGACAATACAAATTACATAGTACAAACGAGTTAAAAATATATCAACTCTTGAATGGAATGCTGACCTCTAATGATGACTTGCCAGAGAATTACAATGGGTGAATCATTACATGACCACCATATACAGCCATTGATATATTTCTCATGTGTGTCGATTGATATATCGAAAGTGGTTGTTGACGAGTAGACCAGTGTCCCTGGTCAGCTACCAGCTGTACCTGCAGGAGGGAGTGGAACTTGTCAATTGCTTTTGTATCCTTGGGGAAGGCGGCGTGGAGCTCGTCCCAGAAGCGGCGCCTCCCACTGTAGAGAGGCACGACGAGGCGCGGGGCAGCGGGGTCTCCGAACACCACCGTGTCGAACGGATTGTCCAACTCCACCCACTGCAGTTGCCCGTCCGTCAGCTGGTCAATGAGTGTACGAGACACGGAGTTGTTGTGCATCTCCCCAATGTAATGTATCCCTGTCGTGAACAAATCGCCATGCACACACACAAAGAACATCGTCACAAAGGAAAAACAAAGTATTTCGGAAAATACATACTCTAAGACAAGGCCTAATAGCCACACAGCCAATCCCACAAAGAAAACGTTAATATCCGCCCCCAATTATTTATAGCCAGAATGCCCTGCAGGGGAAAGGTCGAGCGGCAGGAACCTTCTCATGAACTTCTACCGGACCAAACAGGTGAAGCCCACGTTCCCTGTGCAGATGACAACCAGTCCCAAGTTGGGGTAATCGCCAAATGTTGATTCTTCAGAAAGGCAATGTAACAGTACACCACGATTGTGACTGCACAATACCACAGGGGAGTTGCACAACGCCACATGATTTGGGTTATGCTTACAATTGGTAAATGATTTAGTGCTGAAATATGATTACGATTGGTCTCAGGTAAAAGCAGTAGAGCATAAAGCTATTGCATTAATGGACAGTGGACAGATACGACGACAGTTCTCTTGCCTGTTTAGATTGGGATAAAAGGTTTGAGTTGAAAGATATGTGTTTGAAATAATGTATTAGAATTATATCTTATTGAATGAAACGTTTGCATTACTTTGCCAAATAAAGCATTTTTTTTAATTTGGAAATTTCCCATTTGAAATGTGATTCTGGTACTTCTCATTGTGGGTTAGATTGCATAAATACCGAAATTATATATTTATTTATAGAAATTATATATTTACACAGTCTAACCCAAAAAACCTGGATTATGGATGATAATGGTCGCGAAAGCCTACGTGTTAAACTGTAGAGTTTTAGTTATCATTTTTTGTTACGTCCACCACTTGCACCCTTCAACACTACTCATGTATTCTATTCTTGCAAATGGCAATGTGTCCAAGAGCTAAATGCTGATGTTGAGGTCTGCGAGCGACGAGAGGGCTTGAGGAGAGATTTCGTATCGTTTTGCCACCTCCCAGACCACAGTGGTTTACGATATGGTCTATCGTTTAGGTTGCATGGCTACAATTACACTACTGTGGCTTGACATTCATTTTTCATTTGTGAAGGAAGGGAATGCCTTTTGATTTTCTGGTGCAATTTTTTTAACAGAAGGCAACATAGACAGTGAATCCCAAGGGCTGCTTGTTGTGCTTGGATTCCTCACCTACATCGAACTCAAAGCCCTTCTTCTGGTAGGTGTGACAGCAGCCCCCAGCACGAGTGTGCTGCTCCAGCACCAGCACACGACGCCCAGCTTTGGCCAGCAGCGCCGCCGTTGTGAGTCCTCCAATGCCACTTCCCACCACCACGGCATCCAGCTGCTTCGGCACGCGGTTCTCCACAAATCCTGACATGTACACCAAAGCAAAGAACCTCTTTATCGCCGGCACGGCACACCGGGATAGGCGAGTGGCCAGCACCCCGGCAGGCCGCCTTTGCAGTATTTGCGTACGCGCAACGCACCAGGTGCCCATTTAGAGCCGAGTCCACCTCGGGGAGGTCTTTGGAAGATTAAAGGCAGACGATCCAAATGACATGCACGGGCTGGGAATTGAACCCAGATCCCTGGTCATCAGGGTCATAGTGTAATGCGTGAACCAGTGCCACATCTCTACGTAGCCATTTGGCAGGAAATCCGGCACAACCTCCGGGCAGTACGGTATGTGCACAGAGTTCACAGGCAGCTTTAGTCTCACTGGAATGGTGTCACGTAAGCCACGTTACTATACGTGATGAAACTATTCTAAAAATAGCCGTGTGGCTCAGGGTGGCCATGCTTGGTCTGTGTCAGCCCTTGGCATTGTTGGCAATACATGCTCTAATCACAGGGTCTCACACGAGATTACAACAGGTGGTCAGGCGGGACATTTGTTGGGAGTACAACACTTACACCTGTGTTAGGAATGAAGGTGAAAACACCTCGCCCCTTTCCTATCTTCAATCTCCCGAAAACTCTGCAGCTATATTTGTTTAGCGGCCATATTCAGGAATGATTCATATCAGAGACAAGATTTATTGAAGTCAAATTACACAATAAAGTTACATGTATTTGTTATGTAAATTACCTTGGATAGTATGAAAAATATCACGCGACCTTTTTCCTTGTAAAGGTCATGCTGAAAGACCAAGTCCAGCAGACGGATACAACACAGAGAGCGATGAGCACACACACACACAGGGGGTACCCGGCGTGAATTGTCGTCTTCTCACTGTGGGGTAACCGCGATATTGCCAAGGTTCTAATGCGACTGCATTGCCACAGATGTCATTACTGCACTGTTAATACGAGCTACATACGCACATGGTGCATACATTAGACAAAGTACATAGAATATTTGCACTGTGTGCATGCGTAACCCACGTATATCAGTAAATACAGACACGTTGATACCCCGCACTGTCCATAAACACACAAAACAAAGTTGCTACTGCAGCTGCTGATCGCGCGCAGCGAGCGAGTGGGTGAGAGGCGGCAGCCCGCGCCAGCCACGGCAATGTACTTCGCACAAGCACCACTACTTTGGCCCGACACTGCGGCCTCCAATGGCAACAGCATGAGCCTGCGGTAAACATCAGCAGAGTTCCCTCAAGGGAGGTGTCGAGGTTTGTCGAGGCCTGGCAGGTGCAACCGGTGGTCCCCGACTCCCCTAGCAACCCTCCTGTCGGCCCCAGCTCAGCAGCGTCCCGTCCCGCGTGTGACTGGCCACGAACGGGGCTCCACCTCCTCACCTTGGCGGATCACTTTCTCCCGCGCCTCCTTCTCGACGGTCAGGGCTGCGGGCTCGCGCCGCGTGTCCGTCTTGAACGGGTTGTTCTCGGCAGAGGCGCCGAAGGGCAGCACGCCGTGCCTGGCGAGCAGCACCACGCCGAGCACTACGAGCAGCGCCAGCAGTGCCAGCGGTGCCAGCAGCCAGGCGCACAACACGCACAGCGACATCGTGACCTGCGGGAGCGAGACGGCAGCTAGCGCACCGTGGAGTCGCTCACCTCGCTCTCAAGCTCGGACGCGGGACTCCACCAGGTAGACGGTCAGAGGGCGTGGCCAGCATTGCCCCCCCCCCTACACTAACGCCCCGCCCACCTCGTCCAGCTCTGCCAATATACGCTTGAGATGGCAGCGAGCCACGCCCCCTCACGACGCATTAGCCAATGATCGGGGCGTGCGCGGGCAGTGGCGCGATAGGTCACGCGAGGTCGAGAGCGGGCGGGGTCGCACACGCGAGGGCTGGCGGAGTCGGAAGGTCACCGGAAGGGGTGCGGGGCCGAGGCGGGGTGCCGTGTGGGGGAGCAAGCAGTGTGGAGGGGGGGCGAGGCAGTGTGGAGGGGGGGGGGGGCATTGTAGAGGGGGGGGGCAGTGTGGAGGGGGGGGCAATGTGGAGGGGGGCGAGGCATTGTGGAGGGGGGGAGGCAATGTGGAGGGGATGTGAGGCAGTGTGGAGGGGGGGCGAGGCAGTGTGGAGGGGGGGGCAGTGTGGAGGGGGGGCGAGGCAGTGTGGAGGGGGGGGCAATGTGGAGGGGGGCGAGGCAGTGTGGAGGGGGGGCGAGGCATTGTGGAGGGGGGGCGAGGCATTGTGGAGAGGGGGGCGAGGCAGTGTGGAGGGGGGGGGGCAATGTGGAGGGGATGTGAGGCAGTGTGGAGGGGGGGCGAGGCAGTGTGGAGGGGGGGCGAGGCAGTGTGGAGGGGGGGCAATGTGGAGGGGGGGGGGGGCAATGTGGAGGGGGAGCGAGGCAGTGTGGAGCGAGGCAGTGTGGAGGGTGGGGCGAGGCATTGTGGAGGGGGGGGGCGAGGCAGTGTGGAGGGGGGGGGGCAATGTGGAGGGGGGGCGAGGCAGTGTGGAGCGAGGCAGTGTGGAGGGTGGGGCGAGGCAGTGTGGAGGGGGGGGGCAATGTGGAGGGGGGGCGAGGCAGTGTGGGGCGAGGCAGTGTAGAGGGTGGGGCGAGGCATTGTGGAGGGGGGGGCGAGGCAGTGTGGCAGTGATAGAGTAATCAGTGCTCGTGGTGTACAATATAACAATCTCATCTGTCTCAAAGTCCTACACTAGTGGACACATTCCTGAGGGGTACAGGTGCGAGGTTCACGATGACATCGCACGGCTGTGACAGATGGTGATCATTTTCAGGTTGCTAATTGCCAATGTCTGAGGTCTGCTGGCCATGACAAGAGGGCTTCGAAGAGAGTTCATGCAATGTTGCTGCTATTCCTCCTCCGTTGAAGGAGCGCAGACTACAGTGGTTTACTATAATGTGGGTCAATTGTTTAGGTCGCATGGCCAGTCACACTCCTGTCGCTTGCCTTTATGTATCTCTATGTGTGTCTATATGAGTCTCTATGTAACTCCATGCGTCTCTATGCGTTTACTGTATGGTCCATAGTTTGTGGTGCATGGCCATGATCGCACTACTGTGGCTTTGTCTTTCATTTTCAATTCATGAAGGAGATGCGCGCATCGGCCTGTCGATGTTCTGATGCGGTTGATGATGCTACCAGTGTCTTCAGGGAATGTCAAAGCCAGGAGGTTCGACGTTTTTTCGTCTCGAATTAGGAGTTTATTCTGGATGTCCGTGTTATTCCACTCTGTTCGCCAGCATTCTTCCGGCTCTCAGTGAGATATTAGTATGGTGACAGAGCGATCCCAAAAGGGCGATGGGGACTAAAGTTGGCGGCGAGGAACATGGTTGGGGTCTTTGTTAATGATGGGTAGGTGATTGTCGTTGGGAAAAAAAAAACGCGTATGCGGTTTGTATGTCTCTGGATATTTGGTGGCTGAATGTTCTGTTTACGATGCACATCCCGGCGTTCGATTGCCCATCCAGCAGTTTTGCGCACCCATAATGCAAAAACCCGAATCTAACCCCGCGAAACAAAACAGGCCACCGAGTCCTCACGACACAAGCAGGTGGCGGGGCACAGAGCGCGAGCCAGGTGCATCACAGAGCCAACAGCGCTGACCTCTGTGCAGGAGGTGCGCGAATAAACACCAGAGTGGTCCTGATGAGAACGCGACGATGCGAGATGCTGGGCTGTGCGCAACTGACAGGTCAAGTGCATGGCCACTCCGTGTCGCATTGTCCTCACAATTTCATTAAATTTCCGTAACCATACTGCACTATCAACTCGCTTAAACGCAGCTCTTTAAAACTTGACAGATCTCGACAATTGCATTCACGGGCTTATGTAAGGGCTTCGAAATATACACGCTTGAAATATTGCACTTTTTGGAGCTGTTAATGCAGATGTAGAATACAAATGTATACATGAGTGATAAATGCTCAATTATGATACTCTTCGTATTGTGGGAAATCCAACGCAGACCTGCTTGCTCCCAATGTGAATCTGAAATGTCACTTTGGTGCTGGATCAGCTACAGTGTGTTTCCGTAAAGAACATACACCTCCAGATCATTTACCTCCCAGCTTTACTTTCGCCTCTGTGATTTGTTAGGATCTCAACTTATTTCTACAACCCATGAAACACACCGAGCAAAAAAAATAAGCATTCCTATTTTTTTAAAGTGGTCAGTCATATGAAATGTCAGTTTAACACGTAGGCTTTCGTGAACAATATAATCCATAATATAGGTTTTTTTGGGTTAGATCGCGTAAATATAAATGTGTCGCATGGTGGCAGATTTAACGACACATTCATATTCTTAGTTCTTTCGGTAAAGTCACGTAGAAGGGAAACATTGAAATAATACAAATATAAAACAATAAAATTCTCACGACGTTTCGACTGCAACACAAGCAATCATCATCAGGTGTGAAAACCATAGCAAGAAAATTTGAAAAAATGGCGGTTATTTTTAACATTAGCACCACGGAGAGCGATTTGACAGTTTGTTCAGATGGACGAGTCCATCTATGTTCGGAAAAGAGGAGGGAGGCGAATATAATGGATCTAACCCCCCAAAAAACCTATATTTAAAATGTAATGCTTTTGATTCAAAGTATATTTTTAGGTTAGGTCACATAGTAATATTGACCTGCGTGTTAAATGTAACGCCTTTATTTGCATTTCACAAGACTCGTTGTGAATACTGCAGTCACGAAAGCTTTAAATCAAGGCTACTCCTGTTTAGCACACAACAAGAAACGTCCTTCATAGCCTCGGTGATGATATTTTTGCTTCTGCCCCACTGCTCGGTCACTGAGCAGTGTCTCTCCTGGAGGTTTTGGAAGCCATTGCCCAACCTTCCTCTCTGGTAGTGCTGGAGGCATGACCCTGTTGGGAATACTGGGGGGTAATCTACCTCTGTTAAACTGTATAGCCCTGTTCCCACAGCCCAGTACTAGAGATCCTTGAGCGAACACTTTAATACAACATGTTCACGATGATGGCCATCTCAGACTACAAAGACGTGTTATAGATTTTAATGACAAATCAAGAAAAATGAATGCATGTTTTATGTTGGTAACTTTATTTTTACTTTTATATTAGACAATGGTTATGTTGCCGTCCAACTCTTGGAGTCATTTGAGCTTAAACATTGGTGCTGTTCATAATTTGTTGATATAAATGACCTAATTGTCTTTTCTTAAGATGCAAAGCCAAGTAATATGGTTGATGGATGAAAAATTCCAGGTAATTCACTGCAGAGCAGCTGCAAGTGAACTAAAGCGTCGTGTACAACGTGGAGGCATGAATATTTACTGTAAAATCATTTGAATACGAGGTACCACTCTTCTCGTCGACAGCATTTTTACTGCGCCTGGCTGTGAGCTCCAACCGATTAGTCCTACTCTTAATTTCCCCTGAATTTTGCCAAGTAGGCAACATTTCAAATTGATTTCGAGGCCATCCTCACCGCAAGGAAGATAGCTCCTCATTCATTCCATTAAACTTACTCCGATACGAACATGTGCTTCTGTTCATACGAGTGTTTTTCACCCTGGTCACGGCACGTGAAGGGATCTTGACATGACACACTATATCTGCAAATATCCTTGCCTATGTACGTTGAACTTCTTTCGCACCTTACGTATCCAACCGTGTTAATCAGAGGTGCGGTAGGAAGGACAACTCAACTTACCTCCGTCACCGTATCTAGATTTCATTGCGAATGAGAGTTCCACCGTAATACATCCTACGTGATATCGTGGCCACGTCACAATACCACGACGCATGGAAACGGGTGGCAGTGGTTTCCCAGTAAAGCTGCCCTCACGTCTGGCCTGTAGGGGGCGCATCGGTGTGCGTCACTCATGTTTGCAAGAGGTCACGTGGTTGTCAATCACTCAATAAACACCGTCGTTGCTCGAACGAATCTTGCCTAAGTAGACAATGGCCCAGAAAGCATGTTTCAGTGACATTTTAATTATAAGGCAAGGCCGTTTATGGCCATTATCTGTCAGCTCTAATATTGATTACATGTCAGAATGCTTAGAGATTGAGAAAGAGACTGCAGTTCTGCAGTGTCGAGTGCTCTTTTAAACATTCCCATGAATTGAAGTGCAATGCCATCCTAGCCCTTCCACCATCGCTAATCACACCTAACATGGCATTGTTCATGCTACATTGCTGCCTGTTTTCAGCACCTGCACACGTATGTAATTATAAAAGACAGTAACAACGATGTTTTCAAGCTGCCACTGAGACATTAGCTAGGTTCTCATGAACACAAAGAATATGCAGTTTGCGGGATTTTGCAAGCACAGAAAATCGCAGAAACTCTGCAGCATCCACAGGAAAAATACATTTCTAGACACAATTTTAAAAAATACCTCTAATTATCTCCTGATGCTCAATTTGACCTGAAATTAAAACAAGTATATGTAAGATAACATTGATAAACAGTATGTCTATGTTATTATGTATCAATGAATACAAGGAATGTTGGAGGTTATACAATACAAATTCAAGTACAAGTTAAACATAAATGTGAAATCAACATTTCTAGGATTTCAAAGCATGACATAATGTTCGTGTAACTTTATTCATTACATAAGTCACACGCCGGTTGTTGAATGGGCTGCACCAGGCTGGCTTGGCCTCGACGCTTCGGCCTGTGCTGCGGCTGCTCCCTCGTGGCTCTGCAATTAGCAGGAGTGGCAGCTCTTCCCGCACGAACTCGAGATGTCGCCACAGAAGCCGAGGCCGGCGTACAGGCCACAGTGGGAGTACTGGTCTCGGCACAGATTGGCTGTCAACAACAATTACTGCATTGTGAGCCCGCAATACATGTCAACAATTCCAGTACAACTGAGAAAAGCGATCATTGAACTTAAACGATTATAAAAAAAAAAATTGCAGGAACTTTATACATACATCTTCTGATGTATCTGAAGCGCTAAAAATGTACGGTTACAATGATGCACAAATCAACAGGGCATTGAATTCCAAAACCAAATAAAATAACACGAGCATTGAAACTGCCCAAGTAATTAAAACAATAAAAATACCTTACATTTCGGGAGTAACTGATAAACTAACCAGATGTTTGGAAAAACAAAACATCCGAGTCAGATTTGGCACAGTACATTAAATACAGAAATTAATATCTTGGACAAAAGATGTATTACCGAAGCTATCAACAGAATGTGTGTACAGGATTAACTGCACGTGTGGCAAATGTTATGTTGGGTAAACAGGACGAATGATCAGCACGAGACTAAAAGAACATCAGAGAAATATTAAATTCTCCCAAATACAACTGTAAGCAGTAGCAGAACACGCGTGCCAACAAGGATACTCAATTGATAATGTTGAAGTTCTGTGCAAAACTAGCTACTACTGGCCAAGACTAATTAGAGAATCTATCGAAATTGAAAGAAATAAAAAATAACTTTAACCGTTCGGATAGCTACCGCTTTAGTGATGCGTTTAAGCGAATCATCAAATAATACATTATTTAAATTCATGCCTATAAAGGGCACCATACTTCCATAGGGATTACCGTTGGTAGGGCTATTTTAATACACACAATGGACAGGAAGGACAAGATCAAAGGGCTCGCATGATGCACATGCATAATGTACGTTGACTCAATAATCCCCCGCCCCCCCGCCACTTTGCGCAAGAGCGCAGAAGCGTGGTCACCACATCTACGCCTCTATATAAGGAACGAAACAGGTGGACTTCTCCACAAATCTGGCTATCGCCTGATGAAGCTAGTTGTAATTACTGGTGAAACGTCGTACTCAGATTGTAAATGTTGCGGCTTGGCTCTCCAGCACACCGGTGTGCTGTACTAGTGACGAATTGGCACGTTCTGTTTACGTGACAACCCTTACTAGTTGCCTGTGTCGGGTGGTGGCGGGTTTTAGCGACACATTTATACATTTATGCGATCGAACCCAAAAAACCGTCTATTATGGACATCTTCTGAGTTGCAGTATGTGATTTATAACTTATCTCTGTTTACCGCATGGTGTATCAGTGTAATAGAATGGGCCTGATGGTGGTCTGTTTTACACTGCGTTCAGAGCCAACAAACCTTTGGCTCATCCACACTTGTGTTAACACACAACACTCTTTTTTTTCCACAACACATTCGTACGGCGGTAATAGATAAAAAAATAATGTGGGTCTCGTCAGCAATTTGCGTGGCATTCAAATAAAGCTCACAACAAAACATTTTGCTACGAATTCTACAAAGCAAATTTACTGTTGTACTTTTCATGTTTATAGATATTCTAAGAAACATGCACACGCACAGAGTAACGAGTAATTAGATATCTTAATGCAGGACAGAGGTCTGCTCACGACTGTGCTGGTACGTTAAGTTACTCATGCCAGGTTGGTTTTATCTGCACTTTATTTTTGCATGTGCAATGAACTTGTGGCACCTGAAGAAAATCCATATATACGAGAATACTCATTGCTCCATGTTTTTACATGTGTAGTGGAGTAAAAGATACACATGGGTAAATTGGCCATATACAGTACATACAGACATACAAACAGTGTGGGTCACATAAGGTCGAGCAGGTGGTGAAGTCACGGGGTAGCGTAAACAAACCAAAGTAATTAAGGGAGTCAAGGCACGAGGGCTGTGATTGGTCGAGAGGCTGTTATCGTTAAGTGGCGGCGTCACGAAGTCTGGGCTGTTGGACAGGTGCGAGCTGGCGGGAAAATGCCAGCGAGACACTTGGCAATTAATTAAAGCTGATTGGAAAGGGGATAAAACGCTAGGTGATTTGGACGGAGAGTTGAGTTGTTGTTGGCGAGAGGTGGAGAGAGCAGCGAGAGATGTGAAGAGGAGAGCCGGCAAATGTTAGGGAAGAATAGATTGAGAGCCGAACCCAAAGGACAGTAAATATTGATAGGGAGAGTTAGCGTTAGCAGAGTGGTAGTTACGGGAGAGATAGGTACAGGGAGAGTTAGAGATAGACAAGTCACTGTGTGTGAAGAGATAGACAAGTCACTGTGTGTGCGGAGATAGATAAAGTCACTGCGTGTGAAGAGATAGACGAGTCACTGTGTGCGAGGAGATAGAGAGAGAACCACTGTGTGTGGGAGGAGTGAAGAAGAGACTGTGTGGGAAGACAAGGAGTATGAGCGGACGGTGCTGAGGGGAATTCGAGTGTTCGAGTTGGCGGAGCGCGGAGAGGAGAAATTATATATAGTGTGTGTGTGAAACTATATATAGTGTGTGTGTGTGAAATTGTATATATAGTGTGTGTGTGTGAAATTATATATATAGTGTGTGTGTGTGAAATTATATATATAGTGTGTGTGTGTGAAATTATATATATAGTGTGTGTGTGAAATTATATATATAGTGTGTGTGTGTGAAATTATATATAGGGTGTGTGTGTGAAATTATATATAGTGTGTGTGTGTGAAATTATATATAGTGTGTGTGTGTGAAATTATATATAGTGTGTGTGTGTGAAACTATATAGTGTGTGTGTGTGCGGAACGATGGAAATAAAAGTGACGGTGGAAGAAAGGCGGTTGTCGTCCGAGTGAATTCACGGCACTACACAAGTATACACGGTTAATATGTGTGACACCTGCTTTTTGTACTTTCCGCTATAGCGGGGCCTCCTGCGGTCATCTTGCTGTCGTAACTTGCTCGAACCAGTCGTTCACTATGGTACTTCCTGCATGATTAAACCAACCACCAAAGTAGCTCGGAGGCAATTCACAACTACAGGTGTGTGCAACCACGTGGGCAAGGTTCGGTTGCCACGTCAACTTCACCTCGACGCATTTCAATTTATCTACAAAAACAACCCCATGAGGTGACGTGCGTGGTCACCACGTTACCAGCTGAGCAAGAGGCGCCGAGGCGGTGTGAAGGCTGCAGAGTTGAATTTACGATTAATTAAGCGCATAATAGGAACCACGAAACAAAATGTGTGTGTTTGTGCTTTTTCATCTCACTGCATGTTGTTGTGGTGCTGCGTGTTTTTGTTTTGGGGCCACATTACCTTTGGCAAGCTGGTCTTGTTCACACACGGTGCGCACACAAAGTTCTTTGTTCATAACATAAACACGAACGCCCCTAAAATGTAAAGACAATCACAGAGCAATGAATAACAGCATGGACGATGTTTGGAATCTCACAATAAAGGATTAAGAACAACATATATATGTTAAAATAAACAATTAAACACAATAATCAATATCAACTAGGTACAAATAGTTCTTAAAAAACTCAGTATTACCTCGACAAAACAGTGGCATTAGAGAATAAGTATGCAATGACATTACAAAGACTCAAAGGACATAGAGGTGGAGGCTGAACCATCTGTGCCTGGCTCTAGACTCCTATTATGCTTTGCTTGGCCTTGTAGCTTTTCGTGTACTGTAATCGATTGTTTTTCATCTGTGGGCTTAATTACAGAGTTGGAGAGTGCAGTCAACTTGAAGCAAATTCGCAGTGGCAACGATCAGCACTTTGTCAGATTCCATAACAAAAAAAAAATCGAAAATAGCAATAACATTTTACATTCCTTTTGCATATTAAATTGAATATCATGTTGGACTTACAACTTGAATTGGTATCGGTGTACAAAGATGAAAAAAATGCACTGCCATCATTGACAATGCCTGACAACTGAAATATGCATTCTTCCATAGGAGAGCAGAGCATGGTGGATTTCCAGGCAATTACAAGGGCTCTAGGCAAGATATCCCTCTGGGGCACATAACTTAAGTGCAGATTTGTAGGAGGTTAAACGCAATTGTCACCTGGATTAACTGCCACCTGCCACAGAAATGTGGAATTTACACTTCTGGTTTATAGTTGCCAAGGAAGGCGGGTACCGTCCCATGCCCGTTCGAGCGGGCAGATCTCTCGCTCGGGCTGCGAGCACCGCACAGGGCACGCAGGTGCGTCCGATGCTTCGAACGCACCTGGGTGCAGGAAACGATCTATGATGGCACGGGGCGGAGGAGGGCAGTGGCGGCACCTGTAGAAGCAGCGCGTGTGGAGACACTCGCGGCATGGCTTCTGCACCGAGTAGAGCCGCGTGCACACGTACTGCTCCTCGCGGCAGCCTGCACACGCACAAAGACCACCCGTGTAGCCTTAACGGCCTGTTGGGGCAAGTGCTGTTAGCGAGAAGTACCTATGAAGGCCGGCACGGCACACGAGGGGGCGGGTGGCCAGCACCACGCTCGGCCGCCTTTGTCTCCCCAGTGGCCATGTTTACACACTGTACCAGATACTTATTTGAGGCTGAGTCAATCTAGGGGAGGCCCAGGATTGGTTTAAATAATTTTCACTGATGTTGGCCGTGGGCGGGAATCAAACTCATGTGACCTTGTTCGTAGTGCAGTGTGCTAACCGATACATACGTGCACACACACACACGTGTGTCGAGTATTCGTGAAGGTCAACTTTACACGCCATATGCCCGTGACATGGTAGACACCCTCGATTCCTCCTAGCCAATGGCCTGCCTGCTGTGGGGACGTTGGGCCACAGAGAACCCAGTCTTTTATTGTGCAGAATCTGTTTATGAATTTCTTTCCCTTATTAGATGGTGTAAGGCCTATACTGTCATTGGCAAAGACAAAGACTGAAATGCAATGTGTATGGGAATTGCACGGCGATTATAGTTTAACCCCCGCTGCACTTTACCGTAACCCACATTGACGGGGATTGGACCCTGCCCTGAGAAAATGAGGTTCATTCCAACTTCACTTTAGTGTAGGGGTATTCAACTCTATTTGAATGTACATCATTTCCTTGAAACGTCAATGCATTGCAATAGATACACAAACTAGGATCAAAACGGCGTTTCACACCGGCTTACCTCCGAGACCCGGTTCAGTGGGCTCTGGCTCTGGAACATTCGAGGCACAACAACAGGACACTTCAATTAGGAGTCTGCACTTTTAAATCTAGATTGAATACTCATTTCTTTAGAACTGCTGTTTGTGTTTAGTTTGTTGTCCTTTCCCTACATCTCCAATTAGCACGGTTGGCTATGCACGGTGCGAAAAATGTTCAACATACATAAACAGATATTATACACGAGCGAACAGTCAACGCGTCTCATCACAATGCTTTTCCATGCTGCCTGTCACAAGAGGTTTTCAGTCACAATTCAGCAGTTGGAATCACGCGCTGAACGTGCAGCATCTCACTATCCGCTGCAAAGGAGCCAATTGGAAAGAATAACAGCTGAGAAAGCGCTCGCTTCATCATTCATTGGGTGCCGCCGAGTACTGAGGGTGTTGACCTCCGCTGACCCAGCCTTTGATTCACTAATTCACTCTCGTTCGCCTTCACAAGAGACCGCTGACGCCGATATATTGTTAGCACTACTCTTGAAGTTGCGTGAATGGGTGTGGTGCTGAGGGCATCACCGCTTTACTGACACTCCAACCCTGTGGTGCTGATGGTCTATGGTTGCTTCGAGTTCTGAAATAAATCCTCCAAACTGTGGGAAATGCCTGTGTCTAAAATGTCAACTTCAGTTGTATTTAGCACCCCTTATAACTTCCGAAATGTACTCTTAGGTTATTTCGGTAAAGTCTCGTAGATAGGAAAATAAATACGTAATAGATCACGACGTTTCGATCGCAACAACAAGCGATCGCCCTCGTATCGACACAGCTGGGCCACAAAGAAGAAACTCCATCCACTATCACACAGAACACGTGATGCCACCCTAACCGTTCAGACGGAAGTTGTGTGAACATAACTCCTGTCGACAAACACTTAAATCAACTAAACACAGCTATTGTGAAGAGTCTCAGTCACCACCGTCTACATGACATAGAAACAAGCACTGCATTACCAACTGGTTTGACAGGCTCCACAGGTCTTGGGCCTGTAACACAAAAACAAACATTCAGATTTTACCTCCTGGAACTGTTGCGGCTAAGGCTGTTGTCGGACACTTCTATGGCAAACACCACCTGGTCTCTCCAGTGCTTGTATTAGAACGCTGCATAATATGGTTAACAGATGTCAGACATTTAAACATCTGTTAGGCATATTAATGTTACCTTTGCTGAACAACAGCAGTAGTTTAGTAAAACCAAATGATCATTTAAAAAAAATACTGCACATCTAATATGCAATAGAAATATCAATTATGTTGATTGAATCATGTAAAACATTACGATGAAGCCATGGGCACAGAGGCTTTCCTATTTTGTTCCTGAATCAGTTGTTTGGGGAGGATTTCGCACGGCCTCATCAGCAAGCGGTGGCCCTGCTGATCTCACCGTGGCCAATCTCTCTCAGATGTTGTCTAAGGGCCGTTTCGCAATCGCCTGGTGCCGCTACTATTTCATTCGTAATAGTGTGCTCAACTTTATTTTAGTCCAGCACTGCATACTGCACGGGTTTTGATCGACCGAACCTTGCTGAGAATACACCCAGGGTTTGGTCTGTGGGAAAGGTGGCAGCTCTACCCCATGTCTGTTGACCGTTGGTTATATTAAGCGGAAAGCAAGCGTTTGATAGCACACTGGAAGAGGCTCTTTTAGATGTTCCACCAGCGGGAAGGTCGGAGCCATTGACGCACGGAACGTGTGCGTTGCCGCTCGTACGGATGCACAATTACATTTCAAAGCCGTGGTGAAATTATTTGACGGCAGTGCGAGCTCTCACCATAGACTTGCAATGAATCCGTCGGTGTGACATCTGTCAGGGTGAAAAATGTACAGATTTAACATTTCTAAATTCAGTCAAGATCCATAATATATACTGCACCGCACCGTACATTCATCAAGATCTATTCGTAACTTTAAGAAATGTCGCTATTTTGTGCAGCGTTGACAGGAAAAGTGCATCACGAGAAGGAATATGACGGCCGATGGTCGAGGCTGATGATGGAGTGGCAAATGTAGAATGCAACAACAAAGACAAAGATCCCCCGTATCGCCTTATCAGACTGTTGGGGCAAGTGCTGTTAGTGAGTAGCACCAATGAAGGCCGGTACGGTACACGAGGGAGTAGGTGGCCAGCAACATGCCCGACCATCTTTGTCTTCCGAGTGACGATGTTTACGCATCGTACCAGGTACTCATTTGAAGCCGAGTCGACTTAGGGGAGGCCCAGGATCGGTTCAGAAAATCGTCACTGGTGATGGCCGTGAGCGGGTATGGAACTCGGGTCGCTAGGTTAGTAGCGAAGCACGCTAACTGCACATGGGAGGAAGCCCACCACAGAGAGGAAGTGTGACGTTGTGTGCAGGTGCTAGGTGAGAGATGGTGATGGCTTTGAGAAGACACCATGAGCAGTGGTTCGGTCATGGACGATGATGAAGATGATGATGGTGATGAAAATCGTTTCGTGTAACATTCAGACTGCAGGAAAAGAAGTTGACAGCGATACTGACTCGGTGCCCACGTGACCACGAACAGGTCGGTGAGTAAAGTGGTAATGTTCATAAACAATATAAATATGTAAATGTAGGTAGGTAAACAATAACAATGTTTTAGAGTTTAATTCACATATTTATGACATTATGTGTTTACATTATTCGTGTTTTTTGTTGTTATCTGGGCCATCCCACCCCCACCCCCCCCCCCCCCCCCCCCCCGTTATCCAAGACAATTTATAGTGGTCTGTACATACATCGATAATAATACTCAGGGTATCATTAAATTCGACATCTGTGAAAAAGAGCTTTGCAGGCCATTACTTCTTCTCATCTATTTTATTCACCTCATCACCATTAAATTAATCTGTAGTGCTATTGTTCATTATCCGTCAAGGCGCCTTCGCCAAGGCCTTGGTCAAGTTGCTACATCAATGACGTTAAGATGATAAGATAGCTCATCCCATTTCTCTAGGATAAATAGAGATTATGATACATATTTTGAAATGCTAGCCGTCTGAGTTGCCAGCCACCATGCTCACGAGTGATAGTTTTCATCAAAGGAGATGTTTGTGTTTAAAGAGCCCTACGTTCGTCCTCCTTACCTTGACCAGCCGGGAGTATCACAACAGGTGGTTCAGCTGGAGAGGGAGTCTGATAGCCTTCTGTAAATGCACGTGTGTCCACGTAACAAGTTTTTGATTATTCCAGCTTTAAGTTAATGGAAAAAATATGAAACATAGGGTTTGTAAACCCCCTGAGCCTTCCAGCTAAGCCTTGGCACTCTGCCCTCTAAACTGTCTGCCAGCTGCACTGCTGTGACTGGCAATGCGTTGCATGTTTGACTTCTTGTTTTGTTTAGAATATTTCTGAGCGCGTTTATGCCTTCGAATTGCTCTACAACTTAAAATGGCCAAAATACAACATTTTAAAACAGAAAATCTATGTTTACATTGAACTTTGCTCCATGTCCTACTTTCGACCGTACACCAGGTTGTCACGCAGTGTCATCATGTAATGTTTTGGAAATTTTACTTTTCATGACCGAAGTAAAAAAAGAAACCCCACATATTTCTATTCTTTTTGTTAAGTTATTTTAACACTTGTCTAAGAACATAAACTCCGCGCACGAGAGAACCTGGTCCCAACAAAAGTGCCTGCCTGCAATGGAGCCCTGGGTGCCGGTCGTGCGAAGCGCCCCGACACTGGCGCTAGCCGTCTTACGTGACCAACAAGACCAAACGCAAAACGCCGACATGTCAACCCAACACACTGAGGCCTAAAGATAAACAATACACCGATGGCTTCCCGCTCATCGTGCTGGTGAAACTTTAAATCGCATTTTGGGAGTCCCAAATTGAAGTGTGGAAGCAGTACATCTGCACAGGATCTCTCAAACTTCAACGCAGACCCTTCATCCCCTGTTGCTTCCCCGAGCGTCTGTCGGTTCCCTTCCTCTCTACTGCATACTTGGGGCCCTAGAGTACCTACACCTGCGTTCGAGCCCCAGTGTATTTGCCAAACCTCTGTTATTGTTATTATTCTACCACCTCGCGCAACATGGGCACAAAGCATACCAAGGTTTTTGCTGCTATTCGCTTGAGTCGGACCCCACGTGTGAAATGTCAACTTATTTGTGTCATGCACAACATTATTTAGGGAATGTCCTAAAACATGAATACGCGGTTAAATTTTGATTTAAAGCTTTCGTGACTGTAGGGATTCATATTCCTGGTTCTTTTGGTAAAGTCACGTAGAAGGGAAACAATCAAATAATAAAAATATAAAACAATTATTTTATTGTTTCCCTTCTACGTGACTTTACCGAAAGAACCAAGAATATGAATAAGCGGTGTTACCTGGATATTCGTAGTCATAGTATGCGCCTCCTTGCCCAGCTGTTGACAAAATACAAACAGAAACCGTTATAGCTGTGAGGCAGCATTGCCACGATAACACATCACACACACACACATGACACACACACATGACACACACATCACACACACACATCACACACACACACATCACACACACATCACACACACACATCACACACACATCACACACACACATCACACACACATCACACACACTTGCATACAGTGTCAGTTCCAAAACGAAACTAAATTATTTGTATTATACCAGTTAAAGTCCCTGAGCTATATAGCTCGTTTTCAGATGTGACCTGGCCACAAATGATAATGAAGTGGCTTATCATGTGGACATTTCTAGCAGCCAAATACTCTAAATGCATGTTTATAGATGTGGAGGCAAAAAACCGGAGGACCTGGTGAAAAATCCACTCGATCACGGGGAGAACACGCACACTACAAATATACAGCAGGCGTCAGGGTTGGGATCGAACCCGCTGCAGTACTTCCTGTAGGATTGTACAGTGCAAATGTGACTAAAATTAGCATCGGTTTATTTATATATGTATTCCCTGCAATGTATATAGCAGTAATTTCTCCCTTAAAGCAATTCTACTTAACGCGGCACTTTTTCGAAACACGTCTTCCGCATCCAACGAGGAATGACTGCCGTACGATATGTACAATATACCGTTTGTACTGCACGCACAGTACCATGCGCACGAAGCGCATATGTTTAGATTTGTGTATCATCGACGCCGAGAGGTCAGAGGCCTCCTGAGCGGTGACGGCGCTGCACTTGTGGGATCACTCACGTGGCGTGTCGAACGGTGGGAAGACGTTGCCATTCCGGTCTCCCTCCCCGTACTGCGGATATTGCGCTGCGCACAGACCTACGCGTGACATCAGGACGGAGACATCGAAAGGCGAGTTAATTTCCCAGCAGCGTGTGCTCCGCGGGTTGCTGGTAACTTCTAGGAGTCGCGTCAGATGATAAGCGCAGCTGGCTGCGGTCCCGGTCGTTAACCCGAGTGTCAATCCCGGTCGTTAACCCGAGTGTCTATCCCGGTCGTTAACCCGAGTGTCTATCCCGGTCGTTAACCCGAGTGTCTATCCCGGTCGTTAATCCGAGTGTCAATCCTGGTCGTTAACCCGAGTGTCTATCCCGGTCGTTAACCCGAGTGTCAATCCCGGTCGTTAACCCAAGTGTCAATCCCGGTCGTTAACCCGAGTGTCAATCCCGGTCGTTAACCCGAGTGTCAATCCCGGTCGTTAACCCGAGTGTCAATCCCGGTTGTTAACCCGAGTGTCAATCCCGGTCGTTAACCCGAGTGTCTATCCCGGTCGTTAAGCCGAGTGTCTATCCCGGTCGTTAACCCGAGTGTCAATCCCGGTTGTTAACCCGAGTGTCTATCCCGGTCGTTAACCCGAGTGTCTATCCCGGTCGTTAATCCGAGTGTAAATCCCGGTCGTTAACCCGAGTGTCAATCCCAGTCGTTAACCCGAGTGTCTATCCCGGTCGTTAACCCGAGTGTCAATCCCGGTCGTTAACCCGAGTGTCAATCCCGGTCGTTAACCCGAGTGTCAATCCCGGTTGTTAACCCGAGTGTCAATCCCGGTCGTTAACCCGAGTGTCTATCCCGGTCGTTAACCCGAGTGTCTATCCCGGTCGTTAACCCGAGTGTCAATCCCGCTCGTTAACCCTAGTGTCTATCCCGGTCGTTAACCCGAGTGTCAATCCCGGTCGTTAACCCGAGTGTCAATCCCGGTCGTTAACCCGAGTGTCTATCCCGGTCGTTAACCCGAGTGTCTATCCCGGTCGCTAACCCGAGTGTCAATCCCGGTCGCTAACCCGAGTGTCTATCCCGGTCGTTAACCCGAGTGTCAATCCCGGTCGTTAACCCGAGTGTCAATCCCGGTCGTTAACCCAAGTGTCAATCCCGGTTGTTAACCCGAGTGTCAATCCCGGTCGTTAACCCGAGTGTCTATCCCGGTCGTTAACCCAAGTGTCAATCCCGCTCGTTAACCCGAGTGTCTATCCCGGTCGTTAACACAAGTGTCAATCCCGGTTGTTAACCCGAGTGTCAATCCCGGTCGTTAACACAAGTGTCAATCCCGGTCGTTAACCCGAGTGTCAATCCCGGTTGTTAACCCGAGTGTCAATCCCGGTCGTTAACCCGAGTGTCTATCCCGGTCGTTAACCCGAGTGTCAATCCCGCTCGTTAACCCAAGTGTCTATCCCGGTTGTTAACCCGAGTGTCAATCCCGGTCGTTAACCCAAGTGTCTATCCCGCTCGTTAACCCGAGTGTCAATCCCGGTCGTTAACCCGAGTGTCAATCCCGGTTGTTAACCCGAGTGTCTATCCCGGTCGTTAACCCGAGTGTCTATCCCGGTCGATTGGAAAAAGGTGCAAAAAGTAATGCTGCCATGGCGTGAAATATTCTGGGAAATTACACGTGACCTCACTGTTGACAGGTATTGCTTTTACATCTGTTAGACCAGCAATACTTGTTTAGGCCTGACTCCTAATGAGACCTCACATAATCTATTGTATTTAGAGTCATAGATGTAGAAGTTGACTTATGTATTGTATTACCCAGAATATTCCACAATATGGCTCAATTTTTCGTTAAGTTGCATAAAATGGAGCCTTTTCTGCTGTTGTTAGCAGAATTAGAACTGTTAAAAATGTATTGATTCATCAACTAATTAGTTGATTAGTCGCGTGTCATGCAGAATTGGATCATTAGTCGTGGTCTGTGTGTAATTGGGTCCCGTGACCTCTGCGGCTACTAAAGTTTGTACCTGCGCTGTCACGGCGGGTGACACGCTAATGCTGACACACTGTGGTGTCATTCCAAACTCAGGTAAATGTTGATAATTTCTTGAGGAAACCGACTTACCGACAAGAGCAACAAGTAGCAGCAGCGTTATCTTAACGTTGGCCATTCTTCACAGTGTGCGATACGTAACCTAGAGAGAGAATGGCACAAAACCAGAGTTATGGTGAACGCTCCGGACTGTCCAGAGGGCACGGCTCCCAACTCAATCTTCACACTTTACGATTGCATTAATATAGTTTATCCAAAGTCCAGACAAACGTTCTTGCACAAACCTTAGTACAGACCATGGGCCAATGTTCGAGGGATTACAAAATGTTGGTCCATTTTGAACTGCAGGAGACAGATGGCAATTTTAATATTAATAAGGTTAGCGAGCACTCTCAATCTACTACGGACTAATTTGTGAGTTAACATAATAGACGGCTCCTGCCAATATTTGGCACGTGTTATACTGACACAGTGCACACAGTATGAAGAGGCAGACTAAGTGGGATGTTGGAGAGGTCGATGCTCCAGAATGTTGTGAAGGTGCCGATTTGGGTTTGAGTTCCTCCCTCACACTTGAGCCAAAGACCGTAACTAGAGTTACGGCTGGAGCTTCTCAACAAAGTTATACGACATGATCACGCTTGTAGGCGAGACTATTGTAGGGATTTGAGACGCTTGGAACATTAGCAATAACGGGGTAAACACACATGAGGAGATGGTGCCCTGCCTCTTATTTCATTCCTAGTCCTAAAATCCAAGTCAAAAAGGAAGCCTGGGTCACCAGAGTGTTTGTCCTTTAGTTCTGTATGACCGCTAAAACCACCAAAACCTCAACCATGTGGGCGCTGAGGCTAGGCACGGGTTTTACTGCAGTTCCATCACCAGCGGAGCAATTTAGCAGTGGGGTGGTGTGTGCTAACACGCGTACCTCACAACAACAAGCGCATCGGTTTGATTTCCGACACGGGCGACTTTCTGCTCAGAGTCTGTATATTCTCCCCCTGCTGTCAGTGGACTTCCTCCGTTTTCCAGTTTCCTCCCATAGCTTGAAAAAAACGCCATACATATGTAACTGGTGTTGGTCAAAAACTTCCAGATTGTGAATTTCCTTTAGGCAAATTTCTCAAAGGGAATCTCGCGGAGGGACATCGCGATGCCCCTAATGCGAACACTTGGCGGGACCCTTCTCCCTCAAAGAGTTGTGAGATGCAGCGAGGCTTCTACGAGTGAGAGTCATCAACAAGCGTGGTTGTTTAAACAAATAAATCCACGTCGTCAGTCAGCGCCGTGCCTCACGGCTCGCTGGGCGCTGGGTCTGGTTTCGCTCTCGTGCTGGAATGTTAATCGCTACCCCAGCGAGTGCGACCATAATTCGCTGCAGATTTTTTTGTTCAAGTGGCAAACGTTTCATGTCGGCTTTAAACGCGCCCTCTCTCACACACACACAACGTGTACTTAAGAAAGCAAGCTGGCTTCGTTTCGTCTTGTGGCGAAAACTCTTGGTATCGTTTGGGTTCTTCCAACATTTCAAGTCTCAACATTCGCGACCACTGTATAACGCGCTGTGTGGCATGAAGAGGCGACGTGTGGGGCTGTTTATGGCAGACGGGCACGGCTACAAGTCCTGTGTCGTGAACCACGGGGCCGCGACTCAGAACGCGATCTCTGTCGAAAAGAAGCCTCGTGCTGCATCTACGTTCGACTCACAACACGAATCGATAAACCACGCGGTCCAGCAATGCGCTCGGAAAATACCCGCGTTTTCATTACAAGTCTCGATTTCAAAATACTATAATAATTTAAATCAAGTATTTCCACCTCCCCCCCCCCCCAAATAATCGGTAACCACGGGAGCGCAACGCTGTAACCGGTTTGCTGCTGAACATTTCGAAATTCGCAGTCAATTCGAAGTGCCCCGCAACATTGTGTACCCTTAGCAGTGCGACACGCAGGAAGCAGCCAAAGCGGGGCGGTGATGGCGACCGCTCTGGAACCCCCCAGTGGACGCCCTTCCGCCAGCAGTGCCGCGAGCAGGCAGAGGCACTTGCAGGGCTGCCCCTTTACCACTTCACGAGCAACGCGAGCGCAAATGTACCACGCGGTGACTTAGGCCGCCGTGCCGTTTGCACATTCTCGCGTAACAAATCGGTGCAGTGATCTTTTTTTTAAACTAAAAATCCCAATGAAAACGATGGGCGGTTCCTGAAGTTTAAGACCGGTAATCGACTCTGAAAACTGTTATTGAATAATCGATCATCGTTCAACAAGCAGAGCATAAAGACCAAACATCCCACCTCCTTGCTTTGACATTCCTCTTCTAAGACCCCGGTAGAATCATTAACCGCATCGAAACATCAACAGGCCGATTCGCAAATCTCCTTCATGAGTGGAAAATGTAAGACGCACGACTGTGGCCATGCAACCCAAACTCTGGACCCAAAAAGTAAAAACCATAATAAAGGTTTTTGGGTTAGATCGCGTTATTTATAAATGTGTCGTAAAAAGCACTGCGCCCCTTCGACGGAGCAGGCACAGCAAAACGACACGAACTCTCTTCTGAAGCCCGCTCAGACCTCGCGACATTGGCGGTTAGCTCCGAGACGTCTTGCCGTGACACGCGAGACGTGAGAAGAAGAGCCGCGTCTCACCTTGACGAGAGACAGCAGCAGCAGCAGCACCTTTGTTGAAGCGGCGCCGCTCTGAGGGGGGAGCTGTAAAGCCGCGTTGGCTCACTCCGCATGGGGGGGTGGTGGTGGTGGATCTGCACCCCCCTCCCTGCCCCCCCCCCCCGCTGGGCTCTGCTGCCTCCTCGTGCAGGGCACGGAGCCTCCCCGCCCCGCGAAGTGCAGCGCCGCTGTGCGCCCGGGCCCGCAGCTCCTCCTCCTCCCGTTTGTATAAAAACCCACCGAGCCCCCCGCCCCCCGCTGCCCCCGTGCACACACACGGAGCCCTTCCCGACTCCAGAGATTCCTGGAAATCACGTGGTCCTCGTTACCCGTGCGATACATAACAAAGGTAAATTGCATGGCCAGCAGAAAATAAATAACGAGAGTTTAAACGTTATTATTGTAACATCGGTCGCAGCATTCCTCAATAATGCATTCCTTAATAGCCTTCACGACTCCAGTGGACGCGGAGGAGAGATGATTGAGCTTCCCTTATCCCACGGCCATCTAATTTGTGTCTTACGCAGTTCGCAGGGGCGAGCCCGTCTGCAATGATGTCCCTGTCTCGGGATCAGCTCTTCCGATGACAAAGCAGCAGCGAGAGGACGGACGTCTGCGGACAACTCGGCGAGCCGCAGGCGAGAGTGAGCTGGTGGGCTACGCAGGTTTGTGCAAATACGAAACACGTTGGACTGGGAGGTTGGTCAGATACATTTTGAGCACGGCAAGTAGGTCCGTGAACATGTCCACGTCTATGTATACCTTGAGTTGTGTCCCCTCGTATATGCACTGTTTCACTTCTCCAAGTAATCCACTTGCCCCTCACGTGTCACTTAATCATGGTGTTGGCCAAACATCCCAACGCAGAGGAGTGAAACTCGGCGAGGCTTTCACGGGTACATTCAACACAAAAAATGCTTTTAACAAAACGTAAGGGCACACAAGGCTGGGGAGTCCTGCAGTAACAAAGTTTAAAGGAATTCGCTTTTAAATCAGCATCTCGATTGAAAACGACTTTTTTAGAACTGCTTTTCATGTTCAGTTTGTTGTCCTTCCCCCACACCTCCGTTTAGCACGGTTGGCTACGTGCGCTGAGAAAGAAGTTCAACATACATACATCAAGAGGGTGTCCATTAAATATCTACTCATTCACACATCGCAGTACAACGTTGGCAATCCTTGGGTACATCTGACCAGCCTCTGGAAAACTAATCTGAACTGAGATAAGTCAGTGCTCCTCGACGTGGATAGCAGGCAATGACGACTGTAGGCACTGTGGAGAATGTACGTCACAAAACACATAAGCTGGCTGTATTGTACCTGTAAGTGCAAAAGACGTGTTTACATTTTACGTGGAGGGACAGATATGTTCCATAGTTCCATAGTTCCATTTATTTGGTATAGCCCTGTGAGCCATTCGGCTCTTGAATCGGGTGCAACAGCAACAGACAAAAACAAAAATATGAACAAGAAAACATCTTAAAGTGACTATGTGACTGTGCAAACAGAAAATCCAGGGAAAAAAACATCAAAATATTACTGAAATAGCACCGTACACCAATGCTGTGTGAAAAATATGGGAAGGACGCGTAGCATCCGTTTATTTTGTCAACATAAACAGCGTGCCAACATTTACGTAATGTAAACACCATTAACAGCAGCAATCGTGGAGCGATGTCCTAACATGGTCCATGCGTGCGCCTCTTAATAGGGAGCAGTAGTGTCGTGGTTCGCGCTCTGCGCTACGAACCCGGCGGCGACACGAGTTCGATTCTCGCTCACGGCCAACACCAGTGACGATTACCTGAACCCGTTCTGGGCCTCCCCTAGGTCGACTCAGCCTCAAATTAGTACCTGGTGCGGTATGTAAACATCGCCACTGAGGAGACAAAGGTGGCCGGACGAAGTTCTGGCCATCCACCCCCTCGTGCGCCGTGCTGGCCTTCATAGGTGCTTCGCTAAGAGCACATGTCCCAACAGTCGGTTAAGGCTACATGGGGGGTCTTTTTCTTGTGTACCTCTTATAGTTCGCGAATAGACGTCACACGAACTCACCAAGACTCCCGGACGTCGCAGGTACAATGCCACCATGCTCTTCATTGTTATTCCCTTCATCGGATTGGACGAAAGTGGAGGAGCTTCACCAAGGCAGCTCTTCTCAAGCAGAAACTCTGGAATTGTCAGAATTCCTGTTCATATTTGATGAAGTGTTGAGATGTTTTTTTGCAGGATATTACATTTTTCATGTAAATATGCGAACAATATGGCGCTTCGTTAATTAGTTCTGTTAAACATTGGGGATGAAAAAAACCTCACGAGTTATTTGAAACGGTGACCTCTTCCCCGCACATTATCGAGTTAAGTGACTACGATTTGGCAAGCAGTGGGGTCCATGTGACTCCATCCACTGATATTTATTGAGGCTGCATGGGTAAACAATATTTCACTGGTTATGACAGATTTCATGAGTTTACAACCATTAAGTAATTTGTATGGTATCAACGAATGATTATTTACTGCTCAGCATAACCAGTATGCGGATAACAGGAATTACTTGTGTGATGTACCTATGTTGGACTTAAAAAAAAACTTTAAAATATTGAGGGTAAATGATCAAAACATTGTTCAGCAATGCAATAATTTCAAAACACAATTTGAGAATGGTTGAAACAGAGTAAATAGGGATGTTTCAAATATTTCAATATTCTTTATTAATACCATATAGCGGTTAAGACTGCATTTAATGAAGTTCCGTGTGACATTATTACACCAAATGTAAAGGATCATTCCAACCCTGCATGAACCTGGCAAAAGATGTGCCAGATGATTGTGGATGTCTCAAGCGACACTTTGGCACCACCTATGTGCTCATATGCAGCAGGCTAACCTTTCAGCTACTCTCCAGAAACAACAGAGCATGCAGGCCCATCCACATCTTGAAATGCAGAAACCTCAACCTGGCAGAGTGACACTCTTTGGTTCGAACGGTAAAGTCACGTAGATAGAAAAAATAATAACTAATAAATCACGACCTTTCGATAGCAGCACAAACTATCGTCTTATCATTTACTGCTCAACATAACCAGTCGGTGTGGTGTTGACTGTTGTGTTGGCCGACTCTCTGAGTTGCATTACATTTCTAAGTTTGCTAAGTTTATTTTCTCTCTATCAACTTTTTCCCTCTGTAAATTTCACCCCCATCCTCTCACCCGTTGCGACAGCTCCCCCCTCCCCCCTCCTCGGATTAGCCGACACTCACCACTCGCAAATTCCATCCTTAGTCCCACCTACTTACCCTACGGATATAACCCTTGGTTGCAGTAGCTCTCTCGCTACATTTCCTCCTCAGCAGTAAGCCTGCTATTTATAAATATATTTCACCTGAAAACGATGGCTTGTGTTGCTATGGAAACGTCGTCATTTATTAGTTATTATTTTTTCTATCTACGTGACTTTACCGAAAGAACCAAATAGTATGAATTTCTGCTGTCACGAAAGCTTCAAATCAAAACTGCCAGAGTTACTTTAGGAGCAGCAGCAGCAGCCTTGTGGCCATGTATACACTCTCACAAGCACCGACCACTAGTGGACGTGCCAGAGCATTTCCATCAGCAGAACATCCTGGACCCCTTCAGAAGCAGGGGCAACATCAACTGCACCTGCTTCTCTGGCAGGAGATGATCTAAAATCAACATGGCGCCGCGATGGGGAGACGCTAACTACCTCGCTTGGTATACAGGAGACCGTGGGTTGAATCCCCAGCCTGACGCCTGCTCTGTGTCTGGAGTTTGCATGTTCTCCCCGTGGTCGTGTGGATTTTTCTCTGGGTCCTCCAGTTTGTTTCCCTCCACATAGAGAAACACGCGTTTAGAGTATTTGGCTGATATACATTTCCACATATGCCACTTCGTTGAGCTATCATTTGTGGCCCGGTCGCTTCTGAAAAAGAGCTATATAGCTCAGTGGGCCTTACCTGGTAAAATAAAAAAATATATATAGTTTAGTCGACATCTTCAGATGCAGCAGCCTCAAGTGACCTCTGTAGAGCAGTGGTCCCCAACCTGTCTCGGCCCGCCGACCTCTGTCATCCATCAACGGAATGTTGCACTCACCATTCGGGTGTCCCCTACCGTCCTCTAGGCGGAACACAATGTCCGTGATGCCATTAATGAGAAAATGATACGCCACTCAAGTGAGCGCATGGCGGTGATGTATTAATTCGCCCAGTAGAGAGCAGCATTCACTTTGACACTGCTATTTAAAAGGCAAGTGCATAGTGTTTGTTATCAATACGTTTGGTGAATTAGTACAGCCAGCGCATGAATGTCTAGTTATTGTATAGGTTCCCGATATTTCTCAGTTTTCAGATCGAATTATTTGGGTTCCTGTTGAGACTGTGGTGTTTGAATTTGGGTAGATGCATTTCGCTTTTGGTTTTGTGGGTTTCGTTTCGGCTTCTGGTGTTTCTGCTTGTTTATTTCGTCCTCTTTAGCTCTGAGTGTCTGGCCTAAGCTCCGAGAGTATTTCTTCTACATAACATTCCCTGTTTTGGTTGCTTGCATCTCAGTTACTCGAAGTATTTTTTCAGGTTTCTGAAGTTCAGGAGCCCCTCTATGATGCATACAAACTATCTAAAAAGTTGGATTTAAAAAATCTGTTCATTCTTGCAATAAATATATAAATGGGAATTTAAATGATAAAAAATGGACAACTGAATAAAATTCTGAAGTCAAAATAGAAATCAAAAACATGAACAAGAAAACATCTTAAAGTGACAATGCGCAAACAGAAAAATCCAGCAAAAAACAGCTAAATATTCCAGAAAAAGCACCGTCCACCAACGCTGTGTGCAAAAATCCCAGTGGGATGCAAGTCAAACAACAACAACAATCACACGACAACTTCGATTAAAGCCATAAGTTTAACTCCGTAATACAACAAACAAACATGGCCAAACAAATTTTCGAAATCACTATCAGTAACTCACGTATCTTTTTTTTAATTTACAATACACGTGGAGGATATTCACGCAACTTCGCGTTATGCAGCGTGATGATTATTGATGAGTGCTGTAGGTTATAATCGCAATGGCGCAGGCTTGCGGCGCGTCGAATGTCCCCCGCTAGGGAGCGGTAAGAGACCTCGCGGTGAAACTGCAGCGCGCATTCTGCTGGCGCCGAACGGGTCGGAGGTGGGTAGAGTGTTCGCATACCCGTCAAGCCCTTGTCAGTGCCCACCTTGTTACAGACCAATTCAGACCCTATTGGTCACCACCCCGCGCCTTTATAAATCTCAACGTTCATCCTACAAAGTCCCGTATTGAACCAACTGTACGCCGCACGGACCTGGAAACAATAATACGGGTACACCTCATGGGTTGACAGGTATGCACTTGGTTCTTCTCTCGAGAATACGACCACTGTCGACTTCCTACTTGGTGACAATGTTGTCGCGAGTTGCCTGTCCCGGGGGGGGGGGGGGTATTGTGTCCAGTTGACCCCTGAGCAGGGTCGATTGTCACATTCTGGCTGCGAGTCGAGCACCTCCCGTTCATGCCACACAGCCCGGAGCTCGGCGTTACGTATCAAGCGATGAGGGTACAATGCATCGTCAACTAAACTTTTTATGTTACCAGGAAAGGCCCACTGAGCTATACAGCTCTTTT